TCTCTCTCTCTCTCTCTCTCTCTCTCTCTCTCTCTCTCAATATTGGGTGCTTTCCAATTGCTTAACACATCTTGGGGTGCGTTCAGATTCTTCATCCGGGTGCACTCTATTACTAGAAACACTATAGTACATGTTACATATACTATAACACTTCTAGTAATAGAATCCACCCGGGTGTGGAATCTGAACGCAGCCTTGAGAGGGTCAGGCGACAGTTTCCCGAAAAGTGGAGGGGATAATGTTGGTACCAAAGAAAATCTCTACACAATATAATTTAAAGATTCTGTTCTTTGTAACTGCACTGCTAAATTGGTGCAATAAATTGAAATGAGGCAAGTATACGTTTTCTCACTCTAACTTTTTGTATTAGTTCAGCAGTGTAGTTACAAAAAACAGATCTTTAAATTATATCGTGTAGTGATTTCTCTTGGTACCAACATTATCCCCTCCACTTTTCGGGAAAAGGTCGCCTAACCTGTTGAGATTTTTGTCATATAAATACTAAAATATCACGTTCTCTAGAATTCAATTGATTTGTAAGAAATATTATTATTGCTTAAATTTATAATGCAATAGGTTGTTTACTAAGAATGGCAGCCTTGATGAAGAAACGAGTATTAGCTGAATTTACTCAAAGTCAGGTAAAAGTTAAAATCATTATCGTATACATTCTAATTTATTTAAATTTATTAAATCATTATTTTTATCAACTGCAATACTGCTTTCAGGTTATTGAACCACCAACTAAACGGTTAAGGACTCTAAGGCTATCATCAACAACTAGTACAAAAAATGGTACAGAAAGCAGTTCGGCACTAGCTTATATAGAGTGCCTTGAGAAATGTAAGAGTGGAAATGATGCTTTGCAATTGCTTGTTCGTATCTCAGATGCTATAGCATACATAGCAGCTGAAGATGTTCCTATAGCTGTAAAAAAGCTAGCAGAAAGATTTGCTGTTGAAAATGAAGCTGCAGTTAGAGCAAAAATTTTTTGGGTATTTGCTGAATTAGGAGAAGTGACATCTGACATAGCAGAGAAAGCAAAAATTATTAATGAGACGATAGAACTTTTAAGAAATGAAGAATCACATAGAGTAAAAAGTCAGGGATTAGCAACACTTTTAAAACTAGGGGATTATCAGAGGTATGATTGTACCTTATATATTTTTTCTTTATTTATAAAATAATTCTTATTTTTAAGTTTTGATAAACATAGTCTCTTCTACTGATATAGTAATAATGGTATTTTGTACGCACAGAGCATTGGTGTTGAAAATTGCACAAGAACATTTGCCTGATACATGGCATGGTGTTCAAACACGATGTCTTTCTTTAATTGGACGTTATTTGACAGCAAGCGCTGTTGAAGATACCTTAACATTAATTGGTAATTATGCCCGTTCTCAAGATCCAAGAGTACGTGCACAAGCTTTTAAAACCATGGCAGAATTACATTCCAACAGAGGTTACAGATTACCTGCAAGTTTCTTTAGAGAAGCTTGTGCAGCTCTTCGTGATGATTATGAAATTGTACGCCGAGCTGTTTTAAAACTTATTTGGCTGTTAGGAAGAGAGTATCCGGAAAAGTCAGTGCAGTATAGATATAAATGATATATTTAAAAAATAAATAAATAATTTTTTTTTATTTAAAAGTAAATTTTAAAAGTTTTAAAAATATATATATAAATTTTTATTATATACTCTTCTTTTTGTTTATAGTATCATCAGCTTTGACGGAGAAGATATACGTATGGTAGACTGTGCTTTTTCACAAATTTGCAGTCTTATGGGTGACTTATCGCCACGTGTAAGAGCTTCGGCGATGTCTCTTTTAGGAACGATGAAAAGTGTATCACGTCGTTATATAGAACAAGCGTTAGACAAAAAACAGAAAGTAGTTGAGGCCGACAGACCCGAGGTTGAAGAGAAAAGTGGATCTTGTGGAGCATTTATTCATGGTTTAGAAGATGAATTTTTAGAAGTATAAGTTTATTCATCATAATATACTATTGTTTTAGAATTTCTATTGACTAATTCAATTGAATTGAGATTATCGTTATGTCTCAACAGTTTATGATAAAAAAATTCGTTATAGATGAATTTCATCGCATTTATTCTTTTATGTCGGATTATTTCCTGTAAATAAACTTTATTTTAGGTGAGAACAGCAGCAGTCAAAGCGCTCTGTACGCTGTCATTAGAGCAACCGAGTATAGCGAGGATATCATTAGATTTCATGGTAGACATGTTCAATGATGAAATCCAAGATGTTAGATTAAGAGCCATCGAGTCTTTAAGGAAAATGTCAATGAGCGTGACACTTCGAGAAGACCAGTTAGAAACAATCTTGGGTGCATTAGAAGATTTCTCAGGAGAAGTGAGAGAGGGATTGCACGCGATGCTGGCTGCTAGTCATCTCGCCACAACAAATTGTCTTTACATGTGCGTCAATCGTTTGCTAGATAATTTGTCTCGGTATCCTCAAGACCGTGAAAGCATCAGGAACTGTTTGGCGGCGTTAGGTGCATCACATCCGTACTTAACATTGCCCTTAGTACCGCAACTTCTTAATCGACATCCCTTCTTCGATACATCAGAGCCGGATGTGGATGAACCATCCTGTATCCTTTCAGTAACTTTGCAATATGCGAATGTAGTGCATCTTGATTTTTGAAATTATATTCGATTTCCTGAATTTTTTACAATAGATGCAAGCGTACTGGTATTAATATTCAACGCCGCGTTGCATTGTCCAAGTATGCACGCCTTATTTACAGAGCACGCATCCAAGCATTATCACTATTTGCGCGACACTATGCCGCATTTAGTTCCACGATTACGTCCAGCACTTACGAGTAGCGGAGGAGTCAAAACGAAAGATATGGATGTCGAAGAAAACAGGGATCAACGTGGCCGAGAATTTCTAGAAAAAATGGTAGCCGGAATCGAGAACGCTAGACCAGGTGGTAGAGTCCACACACAGCTTTTGGAAGCTGCAGCCATTGATCTTGATCGTTTGGCAGAGATGGATCATCACATGGAGGGTGCAGCACGTTTTACCGCCTTGTACATTCGATGCTTGTTATTATTGAAGTTCGTGCTGAAGGAATTCTCCGTCTCAACGACAATCTCTGCGAGTCCGGTACAAAGTACTAGCAATAATGTTTTCGTTCTTCTTCAACATGCACAGAAGTACGTATAATTACTTATACTCTTAATATCTATGACAGGAATGATGAAAAATGTGCATACACATATTTAACGCTAATAATACACATAAAAATGAGACAAATCAAAATAGTACAATCAAATAAAGTTACTAATACATAAAAATCGGTATTTTTTTCTAGATTACAACGCTTATTTAGCGGGTTAGGTGAGAACGAAGTTGTATTGGCTAACGACATGTGGTTGAAAGCACTGGCTATAGAATTAGTTAGAGTAACCAAGAGCGCAACCGGTAGCGCGCTACCATTGGCTCGTCATTTTTTGTCAGAAGCTGACGCATTGCCTCAGGATACATCGAGATTACCGCCTTTCTCTAGATCTTTAGTATTGCAGATACCGAATCTGGCGGATGTAAAGCCTGGTTCTTTGACGCGACTCTTGGTGCCGTTGCTTTTAGCACCAGTAGTGCAGGGAGAAGAACGACTACCGAAGCCATCGGCATCAACGCATTTTTGTCGAGCGGTCATCGAGGAACCAAGAGGGGACGCTGATGCTGCGCTGAAATTCACGGGTGGCCTCTTATTGGGCATCCCACTGAACGCCAAGATACTGAATCTACGTGATCCCGCCACTCTGCGGATCAAGCTAAGACACCCGGATCAACAAGTGCAGTTGTTATTGCCGCGGCAGTCGGACTTACGTTTACAACATGTCAATCAGAAGGACTACAGATTGAGAACAACAGTTCTTTTGTCGCATCAAGTATGGATGGAAGCTTGTAATGTGGAAATCTCTTTGGCATTGTTGGTACCAACATCTTCGGTTTGTACGCATCCGCCTCTGGATGATCCTTGTATAATTGATCTATGTAAGCCTACCAAAGTATCAATTGCACCAAAGGCCATTAAAAGAGGCATATGATTGTACTATAATCACTATATCATTGTAAGTTATTCACATATAAACTTTCTTTTCCTATCGATCAATTTGTATAAATTTTTATGAGGATTTAGTATTTTGTGTACTGCAATTGTGTATGCAATTCGTTCATAAAATGTATTATATTAATGTAAAGAATTTTGAAGATTCGTTTCTAAAGAAAACAGTAGAATACGTGAAGCAAAGTAAGAAAATATACATATAATATACAAAAAATAAGAAAATATATATTGCAATATTAATCGAGAGGTGAATTATTTTGATTTGGATGAAAATATTTTATTATAAAACCTAGTTCTATCTTAATCAAGTGTACAAGATGCAAGCGCAGATTTTGTCATAAAAAGTCATACTTCTCAATATAAAACAATGTGCACATGATTGTGACGTATCATTCTTGGCTTCTATTCGAATGATGTATGAGAGTTTTAAAGATAAACTTGCCGCAACCATGCCTTGTTCACCTCCAACTGGAGAACGAGCTGCTGCTGAAATAAGATGATAATTATTTATTATCATGTCTTTATTTCATGATAATAATTTATTAGTTTATTATCATGATAATAATTTTGGATTCATTAATAAAAATTTATATACGCAGTAAACGCTGGTTTCTCGGCTTCTGGACTCTTTTGAGCTAAACTGCCGAAGCTGAGACCACCCGATTGATTGGCTAAAGATTCAAATGTACTGCTGCCTGCTACGTCTCCAAATACTTTCGGCATGACATTCTCCATCGTAGAACCACCTTGCATGGGAGATGCAGCTCCAAATCCTGTTTATAACATATTTCTTTCTCATTATAGGTAACCAACATAATACGAAAAGGACTTTTCATACAGATATAAAGAAGCATGTACAACTAGGCACTGGGAATATTATAATTACAGTTATTTATTGAAGAAGTCTTACCCATGCCAGGAGTTTCAAACGTGGGAGGTGAGCCGAAGCCACTTCCAAAAACTGGTTTCGACGCGCCAAACATCGAAGGTGGCGATCCAAACATCGGTTTGGCGCCAAAAGCAGGAGTTTGTCCGAAAACAGGTTGACTACCTAGTACAGGTTGCTGCGCTCCCACCCCCATCGGGGATGTATTGGTCACAGGAGACTTAAAGACATTCGCGCCTGCAGGAGAAGCGCCTGCACCCGTTGGCGACGCGTTACTGGTTGCGCTACCAAACGGAGAAGCAGGTGCCGCATTCGTCGCACCGCCAAACATGCCGCCACCAGATTTCGGAGCATTGCTGTCGAAGAGGGGCACCGACGGAGTCGCGCCGAACACCGTTGAATTACCCCCGAACATATTCCCGCTGGTAGGAGTCAGCGGGGTCGATCCGAATATGGAATTCATGCCGCTACCGCCGCCGCCGAATATAGGAGTGTTAGAGGATGTGGCGGGCATGTTGAATACAGAGCCCGAGGTGTTGCTAAAGGGTGTCGATGCAGGGCTGATGATATTCTTCCCGAAGACATTCGCCGTCGACACAGGGGGTGTCTGAACGTTCGGAGTTCCAAACTGAGCGTTCGACGTTGGCGATGCTATCGGGCTTTTGCCGAATGCCGGCGTGATAGAGGCTACTGTCGCCGTCGTCGCCACCGTCGTTGTAGGGATACCGAAGGAGATCGGAGACTTGGCCGCCGAGGTATTGTTGGTAGTAATTCCAAAACTCGTAGCTGGCATACTGGTAGCGGACTCGCCAAAGACCGGCTTGCCCAAGGAGCTCTGGAAAGGAGACACATTGCTGGTCACAGTTGTCGCCGAAGAGTAGGTGGTAGCTCCTGTGGTGGATATGTTTGAGAATCCGCTGAATACCGACGCGGTCGATGCTGAAGTCGACGTGTCGAAAGTAGGTGCAATCGACGGGAAAGCGGCCGCACCGAAGATAGTGGTGGCGGGCGGTGTTGTCGACGGCTCTATGAGTGTAGCCATACTCTTCACCATGATTTGACTACCAAATATCGACGCAGTTGGCAACGAAGTTGAAACCTGAGCAGCTGCGGCGCCGAAAGTGGGTGATTTCACTTCGGGCGTCGCGACCGCTTGGATAGTGACTGAGTCAGACACTGGCGTCTCCATCAACTTCGAAGTAGCATTCGTGTTTGCGAGACTGATGGTAAGTCCACCGATAGTCACGTCGGACGGAGTAACGGTGGTTGTTACGAAAGGTTGCGTCGTAGCAGCGATTGAAGTAGCGAAGCTGATGGTTGCGATTGTATTTACCTTTCCATTAGTACCAACGCTCGGAAGACTTGTCTGCTGGAGGTTCAACGGACTCGATGATCCTAAGGACAGCGCCGCCAATTCTATCGGTGTTGCCTGCATCGTTGGCTGCATCGCAGATTGCATCACCGGCTGAATCGCAGATTGCATCGTCGGCTGTATCGCAGATTGCATCGTCGGCTGCATCAGCGACTGCGCCACTGTTACAGATGATTCTACAGCGGGAGTATGAGAAGGCTTCGAATAAGTAAAGGACATCATTGCGTCAAGCGGAGTGGCAGAGGATGATTTCGCAACGGACGGGACAACGCTAGGCGTGGCGAAACTAAACGTAGCAGCAGCGTCTGTTTTCACAGCTGATGCTACGGGCAACGACGGCAGGCTACGAGCGATTCCCTCAGTTTTCGTTAACGAGTATTCAGTCGATAGTACGTCCTTCAGCAGACTAGTCGAGAATAACGCGGATTCCGACGCTTTAGGAACGATGATATCGTTGCTCGACGACACCACGGATTCCTTGTTGTTTTTGGCAGTTGTGTCCATGGCAGGGGGTTTCGGGAAAAAGATATCTTGAGACTTAGGTGCAGGTGTGCTGAAAGTGATGGATGGGAAGTTGATATTGAGATCTTGCTTCGGCCTGACTTGGGCTATCGTGGGAATTGTCGGTATGATAAGCTTCTTCTCCGTCTGCTTGACGGAGATCGCAGCGGGGAAAGAGGTGGTCGTAGAAGCCGGCTTCTGCTGCGTTTTATTCTGCATAACAATGCCGTTCGTGTCGGACGTGCCGATCCTTGCGACGATACTGTTCAATGAAGCTAAAGGATTGCTTTGTGATTTGGCCTTCTCCACGATCTGCTTATTCACGATACTTGGTTTACTCATAATCAGTGGCTCGACCTTGGACTTAGTTTCAGGCGGCGTCGTGGAATTAACGGATGCTAGCGAAGATAATGTGGCCTTCAGACGATCTTGGACCGGTGACGGGTTTACCGGCTTGATAATCTTCGGGCTGGAATTGACGAGCAATGCCTTCAGTTTTGCCTGCTTCTCATGCGTGAAACTCAAAGTCTTCGAAGCGATACTTCGGCAATGGGCGTCTATCGCATCAGTCCTTCCTTGAATAGTCGACACTGACGTTCTTGGCAAACTTATGTGCAGGCTCGACATCGAACGGTTGAGATTGGATATATCTTTAACTGTGCCTGCTGGCGAGTGACTGAGAAACTTCCACCTCCGCGAAATTTGCTCCAGCTTCTCTTTCTCTTTCGCGATGATCTTGCTGTGAAGCAGGAGATTCTGATAGACGAATTCCAAGCTGGGTATCTTCATTTTCGTCATTTCCTGCGCCTTATGCTCCGACCATTCCAAATCCAAAATTTTGCTAACTTGATTGAGCTGCGTCTGCGCGTAATAGAACGTTCGCTGTAGATCCGCTATTTTGCTGTTCTCGCCACAGTTTCTGTTGTTCATATCTGTGCTGCTTGCATTCTTCGATTTGGTCTCTTCGATCCACGCGAATGACTGCAACAACAAAGTCTTCAAGTACGCTATATCGCTGGCTAAACTGCCGGTCGTTTCCTTCAATTCTTTCAGGAATTGTTCTACGATGGCAGATGTCTCTCCGAGCCGTTTCTTCTCCTTGTCTGTGCCGCATTCCCACACTTGCGGCTCTAACTTGCCTCGCCATTCTTTCTCGAACAACGCTACTTCCTGCAGATAAGCTCGCATCCGCACGCTATCGTCTATGGAAGATTTCTGTTCAGCCACTTGCGGCGAACTTACTTCATTGTCTCGCGCCGCTGGCTTAGTCTCAATCTTCGCAGATTCAGGCGCCGGCGTTTCCTTCGCTGCGAGCGGTTTGTTAATCGCGACCACAGGCGCGATAGCTTTTCCCTCTGATGGTCTCGACTGTTCCATTGGTTGTTCGGACGGTTGCTGAAAGAATCCCGCCGCTTTCAAAGAATCGCCGAATATGTTCGTTATCGGAGCGGCTTTCGCACGTTCTGGCACAAGCTCAGGTTGCTTTGGGCGTGGCGTGCTGGTCACCACAGTATTCATGTTGAACGACATCTCTGTGAGTGAAACAACAGGAGGCTGTGGTGGAGCAGTGACAATCTCCGTGGGAGGTGAATTGATGGCAGGACAGTTGGGTACTAAATTAACCATATGAAAACTGCACAATTTTCCGGATGTTCCAAGAATATGCAAAATCGGGACCGGATTCTGCAATATCGCGTCCGTGCCCCATGGTAATCTATTGGTTGGAGATCTGTCCACAGCCAGACCTATGGGAAAGATCTCTGTAGTTCTCATCAGAGGCAATTGAGCTCTGCCATTGTCCACTAACTGCCACAGATTCCAATTTGCGCCTCCATCGGTCGTGCCCAACACGGCTATTTCGCTGCTATTGCTGCTGCCTGCTATAATAAGCCCCCATTCTGGCACATACTCGAAATAATAACGATAAACGCTCTCCTCCCCGTCAGCGTCAGAAAATCCGTACGTGATATCTTCGTAGCATGTAAACGCGGCGTTTGCTTCTCCTTTTGGTGCATCGACGATGAGGACATTGATATGCCGCTCGTTGCTCAGATATGCCGCGCAGAACTGATAATTACTGATCCACAGGATACTGATTACCTCACCGATAGATGGCGAAGGACCCGCAATAGTCCTCGCAATTTTTAAATCTGGCTTTAATTGTACAATATCTCCATTCTTGCAACCTACAGCTAATTGCTTGCCCTTAGGGCTCCAGGCTGCACACAGAACCTGTACCTCGTTCGACATTTTTGACTTATCGAAGGATAATTTCGGTCCATGCTTATCCCTCGTCTCTTCTTTTAGTAGGAAATTGCCAAAAGTATAATCACTAATAACAGTGCAGAGCATCATAGGAAACGTAGGATTCCATCGTATATCTGTTATGTAATTGTTGTCCTTGCTTGATCCTATTTCAAATAACAGACAAGGACTCTAGAAAAAAATATGCCAATTAATAATAAAATATTCAATTTCAAAATTTTTACAATACTAAGTATTGAAATATTCTTAAGACTTTTGCAAAAATTGACTACATGCATACATTTCTAGCTAATGAGTAGGCAGCGTATATCAGTATTGAAGGCTTCTGTGCTATGGTTACAGCAACATATCTATAATCACAATTAATTGCAATTTTCGATATAGTGCCTGGCAATTGGAGTTCTATCTTCCATTCTGCACTGTTCTCTTCTGCTGGCTTCAATACAGTAATTTTGTCATTGTGTCCTATGTAAAGTAGTCCTCGTTTCTTGTCTGCCACGAGAAGGTTACAAGCATTAGGTATTTGTGACAATCCATCACATATTTGAGTTGTATTTGATTCTTTAAATAGAAATTCCTAAAAATATAATAACAATTAGAGAATGACTGTACTATAACTGTATCAAGGAGAAAATAAGTATACTATATAGTTTATTAGTTTCCTATACGTGTATCTTACTCTTCTATGAAATGTTTATAAAAAATTTTATTATGACACTGTGTGAACACGGTTATATACAGCTACTATAATTATTATAAGTGAAAATAACGCGCAATACCTGCACATATATTGGATCTGGTATCGCCTTCATTTTTATCTGTTTTACGATTTCTCCTTATAAATAATTAGTAACAGTAATAAATAAGATCGGCGTGTGTGCTTCACTATGTGAAGTACGTTCCAAAGTTTTAGCCGAGTGTTAACCGACACTAACTACAACTCTCATGATAGCACTTATAATGTTTTAAACTGTGTTACGAACTTAGTTCGCGGAGACATAAAATGCCAAGAGGAAGCAAAATGAATGCATCAAATTTCTCTGGCACAAGTTAACCCCTTACTAAAATAAAAACCGTCTGACCAGCCGTTGAGACGTAATATAACCTCCAATTGTCGGTAGCTCGCTAGCCTTGGGTTTTTATTAGTTCCAAAATCTCCGCTACGAGTCGCCACCATCTTTCTGCTGAAAAACTAAGATTATAGTACGACTCAATGACTGTACAGACAGAAAGTCTATTTTTAAGTAGTAAGAATGTACTATTGATCAGACAAAACATCGTCCATATGATGAATCAGCTTTCAAGTTGATGGTCATTTTTGCATCAAGTATTTGAGTGAAAAATATAATGGAAAGTGTAGAGTGATATACCTCATTTTTCATTAAAAAGAAATACATAGCAATGTTGGATAAGACAGTATTCGTTACGGTTGGAACGACAAAATTCGATGATCTTATAACTACAGTATTAAATCGTGCAGTTCTAGAGGTAGTACAACTTGAGCATTGTTTAATTTAATTTCTCTCTGTGTTATGTCGATTGATCAATATTTCATTGCGTTATGTATTTATCAGAGTGCATACCGTACTATAATTAACGTTGCAATTTTAGGCTCTGTCAGCATGTGATTACAGACGTCTGATTTTGCAAATTGGCAACAGCAGCATAAAACCGGATTGCACCGCACGCTGTGGTTTTCATAGCATAGAAAGCTTTAAATTAAGTCCATCCATTGGAAAATATATGCAATCAGCTGATCTTGTGATAAGCCATGCTGGTGCAGGCAGTGTACTGGAAGCCTTGGAAAATCACAAACACTTGATTGTAGTTATTAATGACCTCCTTATGGACAATCATCAAATAGAGTTGGCAGAACAGTTGTACAAGGATGAATATTTATATTATTGCACCTGTCAAGATCTATTGTGTACTCTACAAACAATGGACTTAACAAAGTTGAAGCCATTTATTAATGATAAAAGTGCAAATATTGCTGGTTTCATCAACAAGATAATGGGATTTAGGTGATGTTATTGGAGTAGCCTTATCTTCCAACGTAAATTAATTATAGTAATTTTATAAATCTGGTTGTGTGGGAACAAGCAGCAATATTTATATATTTCAATTTTTAACATGTTTTACAATCAGGATATATATATATTCCATAGAATTTCATGTTAATTATAATATATATGCTTGATTTACAATAATAGTACATTATGTGTTTGAATTACTGTTTAAAACTATAATACCATAGAAAAATTTATAACTTTGTCTTAACGACAGGTTAGTGGCAGTTGACATTTCTTTGGATAATTCATAAATTATCATTGGAAATCTGTCATTATTAACATAATAACTGATTCTGTGAAAGTATTGCAAATGATGTTTGTTTAAGATAAACCCAGTTCTTCAAAAAATATAAGCCATCTTCCACATATTAATTGTAATCTTCGATAATAGCATTGATTGATGTCTCATAAAAACAGTCAATATATTAGTGATTAAAATTTTCGTGTTTCAATGTGTTATGCTACTTCTGTTCTGTAAGTCATTTTGTTGCATGACTTATACTTTCAATTTATTTCATGAAGATACACAGACACGAAAGAGACTACACGGAATCGTGGCAACGTATGTTTCAATTAATCAAGCCCAGCCGTGTCATTACCTTCAGAAGCTCATTACCCATTTGCGCAGGACTCCTCGTTACTATCACACCAGCCTAATAACAAAATTTATTTAATGATGTTCGACTTTAAGAATTATGTCGCGCGCACAGTAACGTTAACGACACAGGATTACAAGTCATTTTACTCACTTTTTCGAGTGCGTTAATTTTATCTTGCGCGCCACCCTTCCCTCCGGAGATTATAGCACCAGCATGGCCCATTCTTCGACCAGGTGGTGCAGTTAGACCAGCAATAAATGACACTACAGGTTTAGCTTTTCCACCCTGCATAAAATATTAAATAAAAATATGCATATTAAATAAAAATATATATTTAAATAAAGGGATACTAATTGTATACTAGGCTTCAGGAAGAATGTAAGATAGGATTTATTAGACTAGGATGGGATAGGATAGGATTCGGGTACCAATAATTGAGAACAGCCACCAACAGAATTATTCTCGATGAGATATTCCGCTGCCAATTCTTCCGCACTACCACCGATCTCTCCTATCATAATTATGCCATCGCATTCTGGATCCGTAAGAAATATATCCAGACAGTCGATAAAATCAGTACCATTAAATGGGTCGCCACCAATGCCAACACATAACGTTTGCCCAAGTCCAGCCTTAAAGTGAAACAAAGTATTGCTATAGTATATTTAATATATTACAGCATGCGAACGCGCACATAATTAGGCCTGTTCTCTTTCAAAGAACTTCCTAAACTATTACACCAATGTACAGCAGTTCAGGCAGTCCTAAAAAAAAAAAGAACATACCTTTTGTTAAAGTAAACTTACAAGTGTTGTTTGATTCACAGCCTCGTAAGTTAAAGTTCCTGATCTTGAGACAATACCAATCTTTCCTTTTTGATGTATGTGACCAGGCATAATGCCAATTTTACACTAAAATATTAAATACAGAATATATATCGCTTATTTGCTGCAAAAATGACAAATCAAAATTTTAGCCTTTTAATTATTGCTATAAAAACAACGGTTTCCGTTTATATTTTTTATTGATTAGTTTTTTGAAAAAGCATAATTTTTTAGTTATATCATTGTTGCAGCAAATGAGCGATATCATGTACATCTCGATAAATTTGAAATAATTTGAAAATGATTAAAGTTTTTCATACTGCATACCTGTTCAGGTGCTATTATTCCAGGGCAATTTGGGCCAATTAAACGTGACTTATTCTGTTCAAGTAAACGCCTTTTCACTTTGACCATGTCATGCTGAGGTATACCTTCTGTAATACAAACAATTAATGGCATTTCAGCATCCACAGCTTCCATGATGGCTGCTGCTGCACCTGGAGGAGGAACATAAATGACTGTTGCAGTTGCTCCAGTTGCATCTTTTGCCTATAAAAAGTATTAAATATAAAAAATTAGATATTACACAATAGATAAATAAATAAGTAAACATTATAAAGGGACAATTACCTCCTTAACTGACTTAAATACTGGTTTTCCAAGATGCTCTGAGCCTGCCTTTTTAGGATTAACTCCACCTACTATTTTTGTACCATAATCCAGGGCTTGTTGACAATGAAAAGTTCCTTGTTTTCCAGTAAAACCTTGACATATTACTTTGGTATTTGCATCAATTTTTAAATTTTTCCTAGTTTCTGTGTAATTAAATCTCACTTGGGACCGCAATAAACTACTACAGTTTCTAACTGAAAAATTATAAATTATAAAGATAATATATCATAAGTATTAGAAATATATAACTAAGTATATATCATGACACTATTAAAATTTCAAACTGACTAGGATTTACTTAAGATATCAGTTTAACATATTCTAAAGCGCTATATGAAATGATATATAGATTAATATAAATATATAGAGACTAATGCAAGATAATACAGAAGTATATTTAAACATTTAAATATTAGTAACATTTAAAAAGACAGGCACACAAGAAATCAAAAGTATGTTTATTCCCTTATTTTATTATTAGTAGCAATATCAAATTTCAAGGTTTCTGGGTCAAAGTTCACTTGGTACAGATTATCCAACAAATGTAATCATGACATTTGTATGGAAAAATAAAATAAGCAGAAATTTTGTTTAAAATGTAAACAATGTAAAATCTGCATTATTGTGAGAAAGATCAGAAGAGAAAGAGGAAGATCAATGTATATGGAAATGATAGTGTCGATGATAGCAAAGGAATTATCGTTGCAGAGGGTCGCGTACTTTATAGGGGAGAACAAATCATTCAATTACTCAGCGTGCGATGTACGATAACGCTTGTATGATGCTACGTATCGTACTTAATTTATAAAACGCGCATTTTCCTATCTTATAAAAGCACGATTGCGTGACAATTATGTCCTTTCTTACATAATAAAATGTTATCATAAATGCGCGCTGTCAGTCTTATTTTTAGTCCGTCAAGCGGGCCGCGCATAGCGTAGCCGTAATGAAAAAATCACAGGACGGGCCGCCGTTCAAACGTACAAAAGTCGAAAGTGTATTTATGGATGGTGGAAGGCGTAAGCATGGCACATGCATCATATTCCCACCTGTAAATTTTGAAAATGCCCTGACAGCAACAGCCATCTTTTAGTTTATCCTTTTCGCTGAAGAAGCAATGTTGAAAGTTAAATTAACACGATATCACCATTAAAAGTACTAGTTACTGCGGTGTGACAAGAAGACCAGGTCCTGAACGGAACACAGACAGTCAGCAACACCAACAGTTATCATATGAACTGGCACGGTTGAGTCATGAACTTACGGAAAAGTAGAATCGACGATCTTTCTTCCTTCATTCAATACATGGCTTCCGGTAATTTAATGGCTTGGTTTACATCGTGCACTTGATACGCGTACTAAATAGTAAATTAGATAATCTTAATATCGATAATATATATAAACAAAGGTATATTAAGCTGGTATAATACTCATCAACGAAACGTATTGTATTGATAGAATTCGCTGTTGACATGCATTGTCGATATTAAGATTATCTAATAGAAAGTTATTATTTAGCACGCGTATCAAGTGCACAATGTAAACCATGCCAATATCTCAAAGCCATTTTTCACGAGAATCGACGATCTCGCCTCAATCATCTTAAAGGCTGGTTTATGATGGTCGTAACCCGTTAACTTATACTGGAACCGTAAAAAATTAACCAATCATAGTCGAATTATAGAAGAATAATCGACTGAGATTGGTAAATTTTTTACGGTTCCGGCATGAGTTAACGGATTATGGTCATCATAAACCAGCCTTTAGGGGCACCGCACACGATTGATATAACAGTAATGTAAAGGCCAAATCACACTAGCAATTGACGATTGACGATTGAAGATTAAATTTTGACGAATCAACGAGCTTCAACCTTGGCTTGCTTTGTTCCAATTGGTCAAGTTCCAATCTTCAATCGTCAATCATCAATCGCCAATCGCTGATTAAGGCCTACCTTAAAGGCCAAATCACATTAGCGATTGGCGCACGTGACTTTTGCCCACTAAATGGCAGCGCCAACATAAGTTAGAGTGAGAAAAAATATACTCATTTCACTCTATTTATTGCACTAGTGCAGCAGTGCAACAAAAAAGTATAGACCACGCACTTCTTACGCTCTATGCACAATGCCAGGCAACAGGCAATAGGAATAGGCATTAGCCAATAGGAACAGAGAATAGAAATAATTGACCAATCCGAATTCCTATTTCCTTTTCCTATTGCCTGTTGCCTGGCATAGAGCGTTACAGTTCACGTATTGGCGGCCGCCATTTTGTAGGCGCTTTGTCCAGTCTCTCTTGACGGGTCTCTACACGTTGATTGCGTCGGGCTATATTCAGAAATCCTACTCGATAAGTAGAGTTACTTTAACAAACCAATCATAATAAATAAATCTTAGTTCCTTTTGTCCTGATTGGCTAATTAAATGTTACTCTACTCACTGAGTAGCGTTTCTGAACGCAGCTCGGGTGTTTATATTAAATCGAGTAGAGTTAATTTCAAAAAATATTATAGGCACAACCATCTAGTAACTACATAGTTAATGACAATTTAATCCTGTCTCATGCCATGAGCAGTGCTGCGAGTTCACGAGATTTTATCCGCGGTAAGAAGTCTGCTGCGCATGCGCAAATGATACGATATCCAATAGTAGACTGCCACGTCACTGTACGCACCCGCAGAAGGCCTCCTGTCGAGGAGAAAATCTCGCGAACTCGCAGCACTGGCCATGAGTTGAGTTAGTGGTAACCAGCAGTAACATCGAGGATACTATACAAGGTAGGTATTTCGCAAAATTTTACGATTTATGTAAAACACAATGGCTGCGTTCGGGAGCGGTGCACTTGGACACGGTGCATTTAGACACAGCCAATCACAGCACCGTGTGATTAGAGACATTTGTAGGGTCCCTTAGAACAGCGACTTGTGATTGGACTGTGTCCAATTGCCCCGTGTCCAACTGATATACACCCCTGCGTTCAGCAGAGAAAGCTGCTTTGCAATTATGTAAAATTCGTGAATCTGATTGGTACATGCTCTTGGATTTAATCAAAATTAAGAGCATACTCCAATCATATTCATGAATTTTACAACAGTTGCAAAGCAGCTTTCTTTGCTAAACGCAACTAATATATTTTTATTAATCTATATAAAACTTATATTTACATAACATTACATGTAATGTTGACCTGGAATTCTTGACTTTAGCATTTTTCATCCTTAATTATAAAATAACGACTTAAATGTCGACTTATACATCTAACAAATATATAATAACGAATAAAAAATCGTGCGCACTAAAAAAAAGAATAAAAAAATTATGAAGCCTAATATTAAGCAGAAAATGATCGAACAACTACGAAAGTTTCCATTGTTACGTTCCATAAACTTATTGCTAGATATGCAGAATTCACACCGCGTCCGATGTTCGACATACGACGTCCGATATCCAATAGGAGAACAGCTTTCTATATAGAATTCAATTCTTCATTGAAAAGCTATTCTTTTATTGGATATCGGACGCAGTGTGAATCCTGCATAAGCATCTTATTTAAGGTTCGTCTACAATAGCTGCATTTAACATTGTAAATCGAAGATGTCGGATTGCTCTTTTACCTCGAAAATGCACAGAAGTAAGAAAGATACGTGATCTCGTATCTTTTTCATTTCTATGCATCTTCGAGATGAAAGAGTAATCCGACGTCTTTGATTTACAATGCCAAACGCAGCTATAAGAATAACCTGTAAGCTGTAAGACGCGAAATGAATTATTTTCATTCGCTTACGTTACAGCCATACTTTTACAGCCATTGCAGATGGGCCTTTAGAAAACTTCAAATACAGACTGGTCATGCTAAGGAATATGGCCAACAAAATGATGGCTGCAAATAAATAAGCTCATAAAAATGTGCGTTTATCTGTACTTTTTCGCTGTACTAGTGCAATAAGTTAGTGTGAAACGAGTATATTTTTTCTCAAACTTATATTGGTGCCGCCCACAGACTTCTATATATAAATTAGATTTCTAATATCCGTACTTAGCGAATGGTCAGAAAAATATTTGGCGACTATCTTTGAAAAGATCGTATCATATAAGAGTAGTAATGATACGCACTATAGCATATTGCTTCCTCCCATTCATACATTGGTTGCATTCAGCAGAGAAAGCTGCTTTGCAACTGTGTGAAATTCGTGAATCCGATTGGAGTATGCTCTTAATTTTGATTAAATCCAAGAGCATGTACCAATCAGATTCACGTATAACAGTTGCAAAGCAACTATTATAACTGTTGCATAGCAACTTTTTCTGCTAAACGTAACCATTGGCTGCGTTCAGAAAACAGCTGATCAGTGAGCGGTCAGTGATTATTGGTTCTTACTGTTAGATCCCTAACTTTAGACTAATTATGTTGATTAATAGAATGTTCGACTGGCTCTGGGTTAACCCACTCTGGGTTATTCAGCCTACGTTTATTGGTCGAACAAGTACTTATAAGCTTTATGATTGGCTAGTAGAGACTTATGACGTCATTAATTGCTCTCGGAGCGATTAACCCAGGGGCTGCATTCAGCAGACTCAACAGTTGCACAACAGTTGAGTAATTTGTCAATGTAATTGGTCTAGATTTAGGGATCTAATAGCAAGAACCAATAATCGTTGATTGCTCACTGAGCGCTTTTTCTACTGAATGCTCCCATTGATTGCGTTCCGACATCTGACATACGACGTATTGTAGAACGGGCCTAAGTCTATAGCTGCGTTCGAGAAGACACTATTTGGCGCTAAAAGGGTGTTCTGTCCTTGTTACTTACTGAAAGTTGAACAAGGACAGAAGACGCTTTTAACGCTAAATAGCGTCTTCCCGAACGCAGCTTGTATATGCATGTCATTGGATACGACGAGGGTGTCGGAAAGTTAGCATGCTGCGTTATCGATGCAGACCTCCTAAAAATGAACGTAGTTAATGAAAGGTACGGTTGATGGTATCGCAGTTGCCAAATGTGCATTGCCAAGGAGAGAGGGTCTACATAAATTCTTTTCGATTTCATTATCATTTCTTTTATTACTGACATAAGGATTTAATTATATCCACATTTTTCCATGGATTTCTCTCTCTCTCGGAATTTAATCAAATTCGTAGTGTCTCGGTTCCGAAGGTAATATCGGCGCGCATGGGAAGTATGATATAAGTGACAGCGGTGTCATAGAAAATAAATCTGATAAAAAATGACGTGGTGAAGATACGCTTATCGTTTGACGAGAGCGTCGAGGGAGTTACAAGGTAAATGTACTTTCGGAGCACGGGTTATTCCATCGCGGTATTGATCCAAGATTTTATCACGGAGAAGCATACAGTAAGATCTCAAGGATATGCCTAAAATGTCATTATCTTCGGCAGTATCATGCAAGGTTTTTCTACGTAATTTAATAGTATTCACGGGAACGCTACACGTAACACATAAACATTATCGTTAAGAACGGAAAATTTTCCAATATCGAGGCTAAGCCTTACTAAGGATTATCGTTATCGTGAATCTAAGATACACGAATCCAAAAGATCTATTTTAGTATCTTAAATTTTTAAATTTGTGTGGATATGTCTTAAAAGTATATTTCAATACAAAGAATAGAGATATATTTATAGTGGTCATTGTAATGCTTAGTGCTTTGACTTTAATGTTACACAATATTACGTTTATCAAGCTTATTTCTAATATGCTGTACTATTGTAATGTGACAAAAAAGTAGAATGGAGGAGAGTACAAGTCCAGAAAACGTTTGGCGTAAAGGCAAGCCCGAGGAGCAAAGTGAACTGTTTCATGGGGAATCTACAACTGCATCTGTAGATGCTAATTCTACATCATTAGCTGATATATTTGATACAGCATTTACTTCAACAGTTGATCCTTCTCCACAATCTCGATTTCCTCCAGGTATACATGAGAAATTTAATCTTTTATTATGTATAAAGAATACTTTATATGTTTCTTAATAAATTACTAATTTTTCATTGTTTTTATTTTGTTCTGAGATAAATTATATTCATTATTATACTTTCAGGTAATGAAATGGAGTATGAGCATTTATTTGCAGAAAGTGATATTGAAGAGTCAGATGTAACAGCTATAGGTCCTTATACAAATTCAGCTCATCCTACTGCTTCTGAGAATAATTTTGTTTATGGGAGTTATTTAACACAACCAGATACAACAAGTGATTCACAGGAATACTGGCAAACTGATCTTTTAAATTGCAACATGTGCCAAAATAGACCAGAAAGGAATTCTAAAAAAGAGCCTCAAGCTCAGCAATTAAACAACTCATGTGAGGAGAGGATGTGTGATAATTATAAAAGAAAGAAAGTTTTACATGAACGTGATGTGCCTGTAAAACATAAAACAAAAAAGAATGAAGAACAAAAATTATTAAGTGGTCAACAACCAGATAGTTTGAGTATAGCTGGACCATCTAGATTGTCTGATCACCCTATTTCAAACAAGTATTTATGTCATTTCTTAATATTTAAATAATTATTCTATTCTTTGCTACATACAAGTTGCAAATGTATTGTTTCATTTACAGCATAAGATCAATGGAAAACACAAGTGTTTTACAAAATTTAGGGGATGACAATGCCAGTGAGTCTGGTAGCTTGTATCATTCAGTTATGTCAAATATGATAACTCCTCAAGAGGTGCACTCGATACATACAACTCGTACGTTTTATAGTATTCATAATATATACTAATTGTAACTAACTATTGATTATCGAATAATCTATTAATTTTGTAACCTCAACAGAAAATGATGATACGCCTTCGGCACCAGATTTACAACTAGATTGGTCCTCCAGTAGTGATAGTGATGATGAAGATGACTCAGTTGAAGTGCTTGGAACTGTTAATCATAATGCTATGGTATGTATAAGTTTCAAAATATAAAAAATGTTATATATAGTAAAAAAGTTATCAACTAAATGGATTATATTCAATATGCATACAACATTTGTAGTTCATGAAATTCATTTTAACATTATAGAATTCACTAGAAGATGCAAATGGACATAGGCGCACAGTCACTGTAGTTGACTTGACTGTAGAATCTGACGAAGAACATACGCCGTCTGCGCCAACAAATCCAGTATCCAATCCATGGTCTGTCACATATGATCTTAATCATAGGTGAGCATTACATGTATTTTTCAGTGTAATTAGCATAATTTTTATGAAATTTTCATTATTTTTTTATTATTACTGTTTTATTGCATAATAAAATATTTTCCTTCTAGAAATAATACGCACTGTATGCATGGATCGCCAGATTACAGAAATCATGTATACCACAACAGACACACCTATCACAATCACAGAGTGTCTGTTTTACACCCATCTGTTTACGGATCTATAACAGGTATTGTTTATTAAGATATAGAAATTTGTCTACCAGCTATTCGATAAATATACAACTAAAAATACATTATTTTATATTATAATATATATTACACAAACAGAATAATAGAAAAACTGGAATTTTATTATAACAGATGCACCTACAAATATAACGAGACCACGCATGCATCCTGTACAGGAGAGATTGTGGATGAATCAACAACGTATGCAAGAAGTACATAGACGTAGGCTTTATCACAGATCTCCATCACATCATGTGTTAGTATCCTTGTTATTACATAAATCGCTATAATGGCCTTAACACATGAAATATCACTCTAAAGCTTCCAATAAGAAATGCATATTATACTCTGGAATTATGTAATGTGTTGAGGCTATTATGCGAATCTGTGCACATCGTACTTCATTTGATAAGAAAAGCTATGTCTACTTGTTGTATTTTGTTAGTAGTGCGGGACCATGCAACGCTCATGTACACTCGTCGACACAACATACTTGTGGAGGAGGAAACAACAGTCCCTCGAACGCACGATGTAACGGAACAGATAGTGCGGCGTACACAGAAAATTATCTCCCACCTCCCATCTTACCACCACCACAACAACCTACAGTCTATAGCCATCCTGAGGCTCGTGGGCCACCCAGTTTTGGATCACCATGGCCTGTGCTGCCTCGTAATTTCGTAATAATCATAATTTAATTCATGCGCAAATGAAGTCTCTACGTATCGTATTTTACAACTTTCATTTTGCATCAGGTACGGATAAATCCATTGAACGGCGTGGAAGAGATAGAACCAGCTCCATCGGTGATATCACCTCCGATGCCAGTACATCAACATGTACATCATCATATGTATTACGATCCGCATCAGCGGCCATCACAACGTCTACATCATGTTCACATCAGTTTACACGGTTTACATCCTCATTTGGTATGTTTTTTTTTATCACAAAATACAAGATTTTTTCATTCTCTAAGTATATGTTGTATTAATCTATCTTATTTTAATACACATATAGGAAAGATCTGGGTCACATGATATGATGCCAATATCGTCTTTGACGTTCCCAGATGTGGTATTGCAACAAGCAATTAGACAACAAGCTGCTCGATTGGATAATTACATGCGTATCGTTGATTTGCGACGTATGGCTCAGATAAGTTGTGGGGCTACACAGGAGTCCATTGAAAGCCACACATTCCCTCATAAGTATAAACGGGTAAATATAAGCGTCTTTATAACGATGACTGAATATCATTGCAATTACATAAATAACTGTATTTGTTCGTAGGTAAAAAAGGTCGAAAATGGGGATGATGCTACTGAGAAATGTACAATATGTTTATGTGAATTTGAAGATTGTGAAAATGTCAGGTAAGTGTTTTGCTATTGCTTTATATATTCTAACTTTCATATATCTCTAATGAACTATTATGAATTACAACATTGCATTTCTTTATCTAGGAGGCTTCCATGTATGCATTTATTTCATATTGATTGCGTTGATCAATGGCTATGCACCAATAAGCGTTGTCCTATATGTCGAGTGGATATCGAAACTTTTCTCCATAAGGAACTCACTACTTCGACATAGTTTAAGGTTTCTCATATCTGCCTCTTTTTAAAATGTAATCAGGTAACGTCTATATGATATCAAATATTTCAAGATGGTCCATCCAGGAGAAAATGCACTGGGTTACCACTACTATGGATTAATGGTGTAAAAATGTTATGGATAATCAAAATAAAATAATGAAGCATGAACTGAAACACAGTTCCTCAAGACAAAAATAATTGTCATCGTTCGATTTTACGGTAGATCTATAATGATGGTTTTATGCATATTGATAATAATCATTACAGAAGACTAAATCTGTTTATGATATATTAATAATTTGTTAATATTTCTAATTTTCACATTTGTTACATAACTACATAAGATGACAAAGCTGTAACACAAAGATATTTCAAAATCATTTTATATAATTTTGCCAGCATAATATAAAAATGCCATGGAATTATATTATGTATTATAAAATACATAATATAATAAAGAATATATAGTGTACAGTTTGGCAATCTCGAAATTATTTAATTCTATGTCGATATATAACGCTTCTGGGTATAAACATAAATTATATGCGTTCAGTGTACTTTAACTCTTTTATATATGAGAGTGTTAAAGTTTCTATTGTAAATATTTCATTAACACGTGTAAATTTTTGTAATGCTTATATTAAATTTGTGACTTTGACAAAATTCTAATATTACATATTGTATTAGATGCAAACAATACGAAAATTAGCTTTGCTTTGTCTTCACATGTTGACACATACCTATCATATTAAATCCTGATTAATCCTGAATAATATTACTATAAATCTGTATACGCACTGAAAAATTATTCCAAATTGCACATTGCTATCGATTGTTTTCTATATGAAAATGTCGTTTTCTATGTTTGTCTAAAATTATTTACAGTATTCATCTTATTTTTTTTAAGAGTATTGAAACTAAATTAGAATGCAGCATTGTCAATTGAAATAGTACCGAAAATGATATGACATAGAGTTATATTCACATGATAATTGTTCATATTGAATTTCTCCGCTCTACTATTACCGATGCTAAGCCAAAGACTTAGCTTAAGTTATAAGCGTAAACGAATATCTGAATCATAGAATGATTACGTAAGCGATATTAAATTACCTTTTTCCACTGTATCTACAACAACTACCAGAAAAGAATGATTATATTACCAGGCCTTATATATTGTCACATATTCTTGTATATACGTTTTGTCACATAATAGAATCAAAAAAATATTACTCTATATTAATCCGTGGTAAAGGGCAGGGAAAGAGAGAGAGAGAGAGGAAGAGAGAGCACCTTTACCACATTAGTACCTTCAGTATTCAAGTTAATACTGTGAATCGAATAATTTTATTTTGTTAATGTGCGCGATAGGAAAATATAATATATAATAGATAACAAACTACACACACGTACACACAAATAATACTATATATTAACAAGATTCCCCGTTGTTGATTTGATATTAAGAAGATGAATTGGAAAGGAAAATGTATTATCATTACAAATTTTTCCTGGAGTCTAACACAGTTTGTAAATTATATTTTTAAGTTGCAGATATTATGTTACAGATTTTGATCTGGATGTATAATAACGATCTCATACACAATTTTTATTATCATTGATGAATGATTGTCATCGAAAATATTTTATGCACACTGCCATATATAAAAACTATTCATCAGGATTAATTTATTGAGGAAGTGAGTGAAGTATCTTTAACAACTGTTTTATTTTATATAACAGTCTTTTAACAGTTGTTTAATATTGAGTATATCTCAATGATTTATCTATTAAAATCTCTAATCCAATTAAAACTCTAAGATCATATGTAATGCGTCCTATTCCAAGGATCGCAAACAAAAAAATATATTTGCCATATACAATCAAGTAGTTAGATATATAATTCGTCTGGGCTACAGCTCATTTTGCAAGAGAAGGGCAAGTGGTTATATACATATATGTACCTCTATATTAATTAATAATTACGAAATATATTGAAAAACAATAATTTTATATACTTTCATAAATAATAAGAATTTATACTGTACATAATAAAATAGAACGATAATACGAAATTGTATTGACTTACTGTTGCGACACTTAGAATAAACGTTATATAAAATACATGACACATAAAATATTATATTCTATCTTAATCCAAACCACTCAAAATCACTCAATCCTATGTTATCATGTACATGTCGTAATGTTTTGTAAGCGATTTAAATGATATAAAAGAAATGCTCGTTGACAAAACATATCACCGCATGCAAAAGATACAATTAATCAGAAAAAATGTGTTTGAACTATTTTGCAAACGAATATCCGTTGCTCGTATAAATGGCGATGGCAGGTCGTCTTGTTCAAGTGTAAAATCTCAAATTCAGGAATTTTAATCATGTTAGATTATATGCGTGCACGAGACATGCACGAGACTAATGTCGCAAGAGATTATTCGTCACAAAAAGGGTTTCTTCCTCAGAAGCTCGACGGTCTCGTGATAAGTGTAGTACCGCATTTCCCTGATGACTAACGTTGGGAATACGAAAGACGCGACTTTCTATCAGTATTTCGTGATATCGATTCTTTCCTAAAGAGAATACGTCAATATGAACATTTTCAGAAGATTCTTTGAAATATGCATTAATCATGTGAATGTATATCAGAAATTAGACGCGTTTTTCGAAGTATTTTCATCTTCTAATGCCTTTTACGTTCCGATCTTTTGTTCAGCTTAGTTATTTTCTAATAACAAGAGAGAAAGAGAGAACATATTTTTAAAACACTCAAATACAAAGTTTATCTGAAATATAGTTAAAGCTTACAATTCAATATTTGTGTGATTATGCAATAAAAAATACGTGATTTAAATAGTTATTGAATAATTACGCTTAAAAATACTAATAGCATAAACGGAAAATATAAATATACAATTTCTAATTTTTTCTGTTTTTACTTTGTGATTACTTGATTTTGAAATATTTCTTTCTTCCTGTGACCTATATAACAAAAAAATATAAATATATAAATAAGAATAAAAATTCTTCTATTTAAAATTAGAAAGTACAGAAATTGTATATATACGATAGGAAAAAATATAAAAATTAAAAAAGATGATTACGTTATATTAAAGGATTTTAAGATTTAGATATTAATAGAAACAATTTTTTACAAAAAAAAAAAATTATGCGGATGTAAAGAGTGAGGAGGAACCGACTATTTAAGAAGTCATCACTTTTTTGGTCGCTACTACTCGACAAAACACGTTCCAACGACTTTCCGATAGTCAATATATATTTACATAAATATATATGCGGAAGAATCTCTTATTATTACAACACACACACACATATACATTTGAGTAAATCCCCCGTCTAGCAGCACAACTCCAGCTCATTATCCTGTCCGATATAAAAAGAACGCTCGACAGGAGCAGTGCAGTTCTCGCACGACGCTTGACATCGTTGCGACGTTCATTAATTCATCGATCGCCGGTGTCGTGGAAAATTATTTTTTATCCGTGTGTGAGAAGAACTCAATTGTGCGAGCAGTAATACACTAATTAACTAGTGAGTAACAATTGAACAAGATTGCGCTTAGCATCTGTCTCGACTTAAAATATAAAAATCGATATATTTTTGATGATTAAAATTCGTTATAACTATAATTCGATATCAATTTCTCAACAATTATCGTTATATGACTATAAAGAGAAATTATTCTTATGCAAGATAATGTGCGTGTTAACGTATCAAAGAAAAATTACGAAAATTGTTGACATGAAAGATTTGCAACGCGCATAAAAAAGGAGAAATCGATAAGATTAATGTAACAACACAGTTCCATGAAACTTGATTAATGTTTTAAATCTTGTGTTTATATCGGAATCGCTTCATGATATACACGAATGTTTCGTAAGATGAATTTTTCTAGAAAACTACAAGTTTAGCGACAGATTGAAATATACAATATATCGATATTTCAGTGATTACGTCAATATATAAATATCATAATAAATAACATGTCCTTTAATTTCATAATTACAATTAAAGCTTGAATTGTCAGCGGAAAGAATCCCAGTAAAATCAATCCTTTATAGTCGTAATACTTTCAAGCATGAATATTTATTCGGAATTATTTTTGCTCTAAATACTCGGAAAACGAAAGAAGTAGCTCCATACTGTAATCATTATTGAATAAGATCTGTAAAATTCATTTTATTTAATTTAATTACTAGTACACACAGAGATAAGAATAACACAGTATACATACTTATCATGTTACCATTGTATATTAATCGTGGTTTTTTTAAACCCAAATAACAGCTGAGACTCACGCTGGGAATATTCTAGCTTACAACGAAAATGATAAAAGTCATTGCGTGGAATATCCCTGACTGCAAATGACACAATTTAATTCCGCAGTCATCAACGCGCGACAGCGAGGAAGTCTTTAGTGAGATTTGATTTTTATTGAAATCGACATGATTTTATGTTTCAATGTCAAATAACTTGTAATTAACTATGACCATGGAACAGAACCGAGAAATCCGCTAACAATACCGTCACGCTATGCGGATACATAATATCATAATCATTCATTATGAGCAATTTGTATTGCCAGTCAATGCCACGGCTATCCAAGCAAAATTTTTCTTCACACCGAACCGATAGAAGCATTGAAATCACCGTGTACGTGTTGTCTTATAGTTTACCGATTTTCTCTCATGATTACTTATTTATATCTATCCGTCATTTATTTTGCGCCTTCTCGTGTATAAAATTTCCACGACATATATAGTAGTTGCTCAAAAGTGATAGATGATGAAGTACTTTGCAGCATTAACGGTAAAAAATTCTACATGTGAGTGAAAAAAACGATGTTGATAAATGAATCTTACGAAACGCAAATAGATAACGGGATTTAATTGTTTGTTTCAACTTTTTCAAACGCTCGACCGTAAATTAAATCATATTCCGAATTCTGTCGTGAATTATAACGAGCTTTAAAAAATGGACAGTGAATTGTAAGCCATGCATTTATGGTATAACATACGCTGTATGTTACATTACACATATATTTTTACGCATAGCACATCGTTACACATCAAAATAAGATAACATATGATACATTGAGATATTTTCTACACGTGCGCGCGAAATGTGTTTGTTACGTGTCGTCATTACATTTGAACAATTGTGATGTTACGTATGACGGAGTAATCTGATGGTTACGTTTTAACTCATAAACGCGATTTTAACAATACAAGGAAGTACTTTAGATCTGATCTTGAAGATTTTTTCATCTCTAAAATTAACCAATGTAACCGGCGTCGATGATATCATGACAGCATTCCAGGATTTTTCTCCTAAAAATTGAACTTTTATATAAACGGCGCGTGTTATTCTTCTTTATGCAATACTATATATACATTAATTTATTTATTAATTTCTTCACGCAAGCCGCAATAAGAAAAGATATTTGGTGATTTTCAGGAACAACGTCTAATTCAAAATGTGGTCCTTACTCGTCACACTCGTCAGTGTACTGTGTGCATTAATACCAACTACGCAGTCCCAAGGTATGCACTTTTTATTATCATTTCAAGTAATGTATTCAACTACAGATTCCATCACGATTTCGTCACAAGCTTCGTTTGGGTTGCTTTTGTACATTTCGTCTGTCATAGTGTATGTATATTTCAATGTCTGACGAGGAATCCGGTTTTTTCGCATATCGCTTAATCGCAAGATACTATTTAACTTTATAAATATGTATATCGGTGTGCAAGTATGCCTCCTGTCTTATATAATCATTACTTAATTTATAACCGCTCAACGATTTAACGACTTATGCTACTTTAAATCCATGATTACGGAAATAATGCGTATATCAAGCTTTGAGACCATTAAAGAGATCATTAAAATTTAATTTTCAGTAATAACGGTTCTATGAAAAGCGTCAAATCATGCAAAATACGAAAGAATATGCCGTGTCCTTTTTTCATCCGGTAACGAGTCAATTGCGTGTCCGATGGTAATTATATTTGTCCCTGCAACTGAGTAAATCGGTCATATTCAATAATGCTCTATTTTAGATTATAAAATTATCTAAAATATGGCAAAATATATTGTTTCTCTCCATCCGGAAGCAAATTAAGCGCATGTTATATTCGCTCCTGCAACTCAAAGCAAATACTACATTATTCAAAAACACGTCATTTCAGTCGTTTTACAGCGTAAAATCATGCAAAATATGATAGAATATGTCTTTCTTCATCAATCCAAAAGCAATTAAGTATGGTAAGCGATGCATAACTTTACTTTTACAAGCGCATATAATGCAAAACATAACATAAATAATTTCATTTTTCCATATTCGTAAATTGGTCTACTTTCCTTATCAGATTATAGAGTGATTTATTTGATTGACGATTTTTCTCTTGTATTACTTTCACGTTATACGGTTTACCTGGAAATTTGTAGCAAGTGTGACGTAGAACTGTCCGAACACGGCCAAGGCTCTCCTCTAGATGGAGAGAGTTTTATGTAGTATGATCATCGGTGAAGGTTGACTGAAGGCTATATTCCTTCGTTGCGAGTAGTTTGTATTTTCTTCTTGGTGATATGATTCTTCTGAGAAAAGATGACGTAGAGATCAGGATTTAAGAAATGCTTCAAGTCAAAGTTGAGTGTTTCTACGCAAAATTATTCTTATCGCACTTTGGGAAAAGGGCTGCCGCGATTTAAAAAAACTAATTTTCTCGATGAAATCGAGAAGTTGAATTGAGAATAAAATGATCAACTGGAAAATTTGTATCGTACGGTATTAAGTTTGCGAATAAATTAAAAAAAGCCTGTCAATGTGGTTTCAGTTTTTAATTTATTAAAATCATTTTAAAGATATTTTTAAACCATAACACTCTGTTCCCTAAAATGTGATACAATTAAATTTTATTACCAAATATTGTTCATTTCCGGAGCATAATTTATGAGTTAAGCTCTACTGAAAATATATGTTCAAAGTGTACATATCTCATCATTTTTTAAATTAAACAGTCCTTTTTCATTTTCTTAAGAAAAGACTCAAGAAAAAATTAATAAGAAAATTATAACTATTATAAGGTATAGCTATGATTAATTTGTTTGACATTGAAATTAATCACAAGTAGCCTACAACATTCAATTTAATTGAATAGGCAAGATTGAAAGATTGAATCGGATGTGGTCGCAGACATTTTATAGTCGAGTTCTATTCATGGAAAGCTCATTACGAATAGAAATTCGTAGCGATTGATTACGACAGACTGTTACGCTTCGTGCGTTAATGACGTCAATGACGTCAATGACGTCATTGCTTCAGTATCTTCCATACAAAACACAGCAGATACCGTCATTTTTTCCACGAAAGTATATTTACATATTGCTGCTAATAGCATTTTAATGATTTCCGATTGCACACGAATGTTCAGAGCATAATAGTTCATTACGCAATACAAAACACGTCGTTCGTAAGAAATCATGCGCTTCATTTCGCTGCGTTCACAGTAAAGCCATACATAATTTTTAATGACATAGTACTCCTGCTGCATTGCTAATTTATGACAAATCTTTGATAAAAATAAGAAGTCATATTCTCAAATACTCGATTTTCACAGAAATCTACTAAACGTAACATTACTTCAGCTTTATGTGTAATATTTATTAAATTCAACTACTGCAATATTTGTTAAATTCAAATTCTGACTTGTATGTTACAGCTCCGTGTCAAAATCCACAAGGCCAACAAGGCATATGCATTAACATTAGGAAATGTCCATTTTTGTTGAATCTTTTACAATCAAATTCTCAAGATCCTCAAGTAGGCAACTACTTACGTTCTTCCGTTTGCGGCTACGAAGGTAGAGATCCCCAAGTCTGCTGTCCGAAAGATGGAGGTACAGAAGAAGACGGGGACCGTGGAGGTCGGCAAGAAATCACCACCACTCAGTATGGTCCTTTGTATCCGCCCGAGTGCGGCCACAGTAATATAACGCTACGTAGAGTCGTCGGTGGCGAGCCAGCATCATTAGGTAAGCACTGCCAATTTTTGTACTGTTTTTATCACAGAAAAGTATAAGACCAATAATTTTGAGATTTTTTTATTACTTATTATATAATCACATTGAGATCATCTTTGATCATTTTCTCTAAAATAATTAATTGCGAACTATCAAAAGAAGTCTTAGATCTGTCTCTTCTCATTGTACAAAATATACATGAAGTTTTCAACATATTTGGATACGTTTACCGTAAAGATATTGTATATTTTCTCTCAGAAATATCAAAACGTTAGTGATTCTTAAGTTATGAGCAACATTGAAAATAAAAGATGTTCCATGAAATATAAAAGCTTGGATGATTTATAAGTAAATAATAAAATATTATTTTATATTTAATTTCCAATCAATTCTGGTAGAATTTTAATTCACAAGGTTCAATTATAAGATATCAAATATTAACAATCTGACAATTACAAAGAAAGCATTCTTATATTAAACTAGACAGATCTCAGACATAAAGAAAATATTTTAAAAGAGGATAAAAAACATAGAGCTTCAAGAACGTTATATAAGCAAATGATCAGTATACTCACAGTACAATAGCTTGTCTATTGAATAAATATCATATTAATTAAACACTTATAAAAGAAAAATGAATTAAGTTTTGTCATAAATGTGGCCTCGGGCGACATCGTTGTCAGCCTTTTAATCAACGCTATCACACATACCAATGCTAATAATCAAGTTTTGCAGGTGCTTGGCCTTGGCTCACCGCTCTAGGTTACAGGCATCCGAGAGACCCAAGTGCTACGAGATGGCTTTGCGGCGGTGTCCTTATTTCGAGAAGACACGTACTCACCGCTGGTCATTGCGTACACGGACGCGATGATCTGTATAAAGTGCGCGTTGGCGATTTGGATTTGAACAACGATAATGACGGAGCGTTTCCGTTTGAGGATTTCATCGAGAAACGAGTGATACATCCTCAGTATAATCCCACAATTTACACGAACGACATAGCGATTCTGAAGACGTCTCGAGACGTACCATTTACATGTAAGCTTTCCTATTCTACTATTTGGTAACATTCGGCTATGTTAATTATTCCTATAATTAAAAAGATAAAAATTAAATTTGGTCAATTTTGCAAAATAGTACATTGAATCTTCAAAGTGCTTAATTAATCTTCAAAGTGCTTATAAAACTATTAATTAATTAATCTTCAAAGTGCTTATAAAACTATGCAACTTCCTTCTATGCATCCTTCTAAGTGCACAAGAGATTATTACAAGTCCTTGTAAATTTTTAGCAAATCTTCATCCCATTTGTCTTCCGGTGGATGATTTTCATCGAAACAAAAAGTTGGAGTCGACGTATCCCTTTGTCGCCGGATGGGGATCCCTTTATTTCCGTAAGTAACATACGAGATAAATCAACACAAGATAACTAGTAAATATCTGGAAACTGATCTTATTCTAATATAATCAGTATATACAAGCAAAAAATATTGTAAAAATTACAATGCAACTTTAGTAATTTGGAAATAGACGCACTATTACAGAAATTATAATAAAACATAGTAAAAATGACCATAAAGTAAGAGTTATCTCATGTTTATGGTTATTTTTACTATGTTTTATTATAATTTTCATAATAGTGCCAATCTATTCCTGGATTACTAAAATTGCATTGTAATTTTTACTACAATATTCTCTCTGTTCATAGAATAAAAGAAATATTTTTGTTTTGCATATGTGAACATGTATACTAGTTTTGTTACAATAAAAATGTATCTATATAATATGATATTTATTGTATCCGTGCTACTTTTTTTTTAGGTGGACCCACAAGCACTCAGCTAATGCAAGTACAACTCCCTATACGTACAGAAGAGGAATGTAAAACTGCCTTCCAAAACTTCAAGACAACTGTAATAGATAATCGTGTTTTGTGTGCAGGCTATGCAAGAGGCGGGAAAGATGCTTGTCAGGTAAGAAACAATTATATAGTTTACAATAGAAAATTATTAAAAAGTCCCTAAACTCTTGTTTCAAAATTTTTAAAATTTATCTAACTTTTAGCAACTATCAAAAAATCAAACTGAACCATTGCCTCAATTTTTCACATCAATTTTAACTATTTAAAAAAAAAAGAAAAATTAGCTCATTATAAGTTATTGATTTTCGAGACTTAAAATAAAATATCCCAATAATTGAACTAATAAGAAAGTACAATCAATTTTGTATTTTTATTAATAAGTAATTAATAAAAAACTAACTAATTATTAAGTAATTAATAAGGAATTACTAAAAAAACTAATGTTTATATAAAACCTTAGTTAGCAATTGAGAAATAATGGAAAATAAAACAATTTATATATATATATATATATATATATATATATATATATCAATTATAATAATTTTGATAATATATTAGATAATGCCAGCTGTACTAGTAATTCAACTAAAAAATAAATCATGTTCTAACTATTAAACAATACAGATTCAATAATTGAATGATCATTAAATAATATTACAAATTAGCATAAGAAAATATCTTTTAACAAAATTTCAAGGGCTTTTTTTAGAAATATGAAATATAAAGATGTTAATATTTCAATCACCAAGATAAAGTTCAATTACTGAAATTTTTACCTGACAGTATCTCTTACAATACGAAATGGTTTTCAGGGTGACAGTGGTGGGCCACTAATGTCTCCTAGTTCTAAAAATCGTCAGACATTCCATGTTATTGGAGTAGTATCTTATGGCTTCAAATGCGCCGAGCCAGGCTTTCCCGGCGTATACACGAAGGTCACGAGCTTCCTCGACTTTATCACCAGCCAACTTGTGTAAATTACGCTAAAATTCAATCAAGCCGCGTGAAAAACTGACAGAGCAGTATCGAGAAGTTGCTGGTAATCAATTTTCTGTTATGAGGAATATATATATATATATATATATATATATATATATATATATATATATATATATATATATACATAACCTTTTTTTTATATGAGAAAGATACGAAATAAAATTCTAGGACGTGATACATTTAATTTTTTTTATTTGTTACTTATAAATCACTTATTTATAATTATTTATTCAATAAATAATTATTTATAATTATTTATTTCATGTGTATGTTACTCTATATATAGAATTCTACAGTTCTAGAAATTCAATGTTGAGGAAGCTTATTAGGTTATCTGATGATCCACAATGTACATGTCTTTTTCCACTTCAACGCTCGAAACTTTAGTTTCGTTGTAATGTATAACTCTATCAATTGTAAATAAAAAAATAAATAAATAAGTTACATTATAACACTTCTCCATTTATATCAGCGAAAATCCCACGCGCGTATCGAATTTACACATTCTATGTTTGAATTCTTAATGGCCTGCGCATACCATCAGCGCCATATTATAAATTTCACTACCGACGATCGATTAACATCGACTTACCATCACAGTTTTTGTGCGTATCCACAGTTGGCACTTTAACAACATCCGATAATTAAAGCGCCTCATAGGGAGAAAATTGTGAAACTTATTTTTCCGTTGCAATTTCCGGTGGAGTCAATAATGGCGCTTCCTGACAGAATGTTCTGTTGACAAAATGGACGTTACATCGAAACAAATAAGTGGTGCTCTCTGCGAAAGAGGCAGAATATATTCTCTGTGCGATGTATCGCTTGTAGATCAAACGAGCACCTGTTTACAAACAGGTAAAAATTAACATCGAATCAGTGTTGTATTTATTTGAGGATCATACGTTAATTATATTGCGGATTATACGTTATCCGCGCGCGAATTGTTTATGAGTTTGTATTCATCGGCTATTTCTCACGTTCGAATGCATTTATCGGCAAATAGATTTTTCGGTTGATAAGAACCAGAATGAGAATTGAAGCGTTCCGATTCTGTAATCCGTATGATCCTCAAATAAATACAATATATTTGCTTACGTGGGAAATCGCGCCGGCCAGTCAGAAATCATTCGTTAAAACATCAATGGAGTCGTTTGGAGGAATGATTTCTGACTGGGCAGATCTAGTCACTCTTAATTTTTATATTTTTCTAACAGCGACCCTCTCCCTTCCATTTCATATCTGTAACCTTTTATTTTTTTTATGAATGGCGTTTTTAGTCTATTGAATGATCATGCATAAGGTAAAAGTATTACAATTACTAGATACATATCAAAATAAAAATGTCCAGGATTAGATATACTGAGAGAAAAAATGATTGATCTAATTGAAATTATAGTAATAACATGTATATAAGTTTATTACCATTAACATTATATAAGTATATTATAAGTATATAAGTTTATTACCATTAACATTATAGTAGAATTTAATTTTAAAAATCAATTTCTTTATCATAATTTACAGTGATTATTTTTTCTATATGATTATACCCAAACAGCATAAGATCTCCTGAGAATATCCGAAGGACGTCCTGAGGACGAAGAAATGTCTTCAAAACTTCCTCAGGATGTACTCTAGATGTTCTCTGGACATCTGTGCTATTAGGGTAGTTACAAATATCAAACATTTTTTCTTAGTGTATGTGTCTAGGCATTTGTATCCCTTAGCTTTAGATTTCTTAAAATATTTAGTTCTACTTTAAATATTTAGTTTCTTAAAATATTTTCTACCAAAGTGAGTACAATAAAACACATTTTATGTCGACGAAAAAATTTAATACATTGGAGAATGAAATGTTACAGTTTCTACATTTATGACATTTATTCATACAGAATAGCCCATCTCATATATATTATAATCTTACGTAAGCGTGTAACAAATTTATTAATTCTATCAAACAAAAATCTGAGAATATAACGATCATAATGGAATATAACTTCACCGTCACACGGCTAGCCAAGCTTTATTTTATGATACATTTTCTTTTTCTTTCGTTTCATTCGAGTTATCGCGATAAGAATATGCTACATTCGAACGGATTTTATTATAAATAAACGTTACCTTTTATGGAAGCAATATCGGAAGAAAGTTGGAGCACCATTAATATTCCACACTGCTTTTTACAACGCTGTAATAGTTGCATAGCTTACGTTATGTTTCTTTATCGCACAAATATCTTTTTGCGCTGATATATACATAAGTTACGTTTTCTAAGAAACCAAGTCGACAGAATACGCAACAGGAATCACAGGAACACATAGAACGTTACAGATTATCGATTCTCGGTAATTTTCAAGCGCTTCCACAATCGATTGTACTCCGTATATTGTATAACAATATATGAAATATATATTGTTATATTACGGAAATACTCAAGAGTAAAGACGTTTAATTAATATCCGAAAAGAATAACAGAGAGATCTTTTATCTCTTTCCTCAAAAAAGTATCTCTTAGCAGTGTATCTTAAGACTCCTGGTCTCACTCCTACGGAGCTCTGGATTGATGACATCAAAAATGATAAAACGCATGCCAGAAATTCTTGCGTGCTATTTTCAAATAAAAAGATATTTAAATAAAAGAATATTTCAGATCTCTTAAACATATTTTTTAAATGCTCAAAAATTATCCCGTTCCCTTGGCAATAAATAAATAAATAGACTTAAAATTAACGTGGCAAAGAAAGGTAGATTAAAGAGGAAGATTGCATGTCACGTTAATTCTAAGACTATTTATTTATTGATTGCCAAGGGAAAAGGATAGTTTTCGAGGCATTTTATAAGTATCCTTAAGCAATCTGAAGTGTTTCTTTATATTATATAATATCATTTTATTTAAAAATGGCATGCAATTTTTGGCTCTGGTACTATCAACCGAGAGTTTTGCGGCGAGGGACCAATAGACCGATTTTCTAACTTTATAACAATGATGTCGGTAGCATAGTGTGTCGTTGCGCAATTTTTCTACCATGTATTATACCTACCCAACGACAACATAACGATAACGGCTCTGTCGTTAAAAGTTATAGAATCAGTAGACAGGAGCCTTAATAATTCTCTTGCGTCATACCAATGAAATGTATACGCTTGTTTTATTACTAAGACTTCTGCAATCTACTAACGATATGGTTAAATAAAGCACTCAGATATGCAACGTAAATATGCACGCGTAATTTCATTGCCTTTTTCTAAAATTTGCAATCGCCAGACTACATGAATTCGAGCAGTTATAATTCAAGTTAAAATGCTCAGTGTGTTAACTTAATTTTATCGTGCCTTTTTTATCGACATAACTATCGAACACTCAGGATTGTGATAGTAGGTAATAAATACTGATGACTAGTAGATAATAATACGCGCAGGACTTTGCAAGTAGTATTCTCAGAAACCGATAGAAGCAAATTAACCATTTCCCTGATCTGCTCAAGTATATTCAAATACTATATTTCTACTAGAACGTAAAAATATGATAAGAACTTTCCTATAACATACTTACGTGGAAATAGATCAATATAAATGTTATTATAAATAAGAAAATATATAGCAAGCTAGATACCAATGTATATATTTACACTAAACAAAAATGTGTCTGATTGTTGAAACTAGAAAAAAAAATCCCGACAAGGAAATGGTCGAATTTTCAACAATAGATATCGAAATCACATTTTATGATAAATGTTCGTTGAAGTAATTAAATGACATTTCTCATTTTAGGTGTTGACACAATCGTAAAGGCGAGCCGGCGGAAAGGAAACTTACGGTCTCTCACTAGAAATGTTGGAGACTTTCTGTATTTTTTTTAAGAGCCGAAGAAGTCTTGGAAAGCTGCAAGTTCGCTGGTCTTGACGATATTCGCGAAGTGAGATACGAGTGCATTTCAGTTGATGTACTTTTCCATCTGGTACATGTCGACTAGCAGACGCGAAATCGGTATTTCCCCGATGGTTTCATGAAAGAACAAACGCTCGACAGTCTTGGAGGAGACGCACCTGAGATATCCGACTAGTATCATTAGCCTTCCGATTCTTCCCGGTTGTTGCGGATATCGTGATCTCGTGTAATCCACCAAGATGCGTTGCGCTTGATCCTGCAGTATTTCAATGGGCTGAACTGCGTGCAGCCCCACAGTTTCTGCGGTTTAATAAAGAATATATAAAACAACGGGTGCGATATTGATTTTAGCATTTTAATATTTTATTTTTTTATATTAACGCGATAAAATTGATTAGGACAATCGCGATATAAAGATAAATGCGACGATTTCAGTGAGAACGCAAAAAAACATTGTTTGAAATAATAAAGTTAAAAAGATAATAAAATGAAGTAAGTGATACACACAGAGAGAGAATAATAATTATTAATTATTGTCTCATTTAGTTTTATATTATAATTATCCTGATCGAGTTTGTACTTAAAAGTGTGTCGTATTCTTTACCTGGCGTAAACAAAGCCACTGCTTTCATGCAACCGCACTCGCCGAAATCGGGGGACAGTTGTCTGAATCGGCATATTATCGCCTAAAATATAAGAGAAATAATCGTTGAAATAAGCTTCTCCGAGGCTTTCTGAGAGAACCTCTGCTAAGCTTATGAGAAATTGTCGAAAGTAACGATTGAGAAAACGTAAGCGGGAAAAATAAAATCACCTTATTAAAGAAATAAAATCGCCGTTTTCGTGCATCCGTGCTCCGTAACATCTGATAAAACAGTATGCTACATGTACACACTAGTCTAGAAGCTCCGTTCTCGGATAAACGTTAACGTAATCCGGACAAACGAAAAACTGAAAATAACGAAATGTCAAATCATCCATTTTGCAGCGTATTGAAGCAAGTTTGAGCTCGGAAGAAAATCCACGAGGATCGCCGCAATTCATCGCGAGCGAAGGGTAACTGCTAGTGAACCTGAATAAGAACGAGTTCCTGATTCGTCGGGCTGTCGTCCGCAGGAAGTCTGCTGCGCACTTGTTCGTCCTCGAGGAGCGCAGTGATGTCCCAAGAGATAGACCATTGCGCCAAGTGCAGGAGAAATAGTTGCGTCCACGATCGTTCCAGCAGCAACAGCTGGTCATCTTTTGATATCGTCTGGAAGGGTGGTAGACATCGCACCCATCTAACAGCCATGAATAACAGTCGAGCTGTTGTTTCCTGTGTTATCATCAACATTTACGTGTACGTGTAAATGGATCAAGTATCGTGAAAAGGACACAATCGCAATGGAACGCTGAAAGCTACCTGCAGCATTTCCCAGGTCGGGCTGAGACTCTGTATTGTGCCCGTCGGACTGTGACTCGCTTCCGTTTCTATCTGTTCTATCGGATACTCCGTCGTGGGTTGCAACCGTGCATTCCAAACCAGTTCCTTGCAGTGAAATGAGGTAAAAATTTGTATAACAATAGTTCAATTCTCGTAAATAGTCAAAACACAAAGTAGATGATTGATTCAAGAATTCATTCTTTTCATTTGTAGTCATACAAGTCAATTAGCGGGATTATATCTTGCTAAAATAAATCTTGGGATCATTCATCGATAATTCTATAAATTCAACATTCCTTGCATTTCATTTTTTAAATTTTAATTGGAGCATTTATAAAAGTTAATAACTTTCGAACATTTAAATATCCTAATTGACAGCTTTAAAATAAGTAAGTACATCGCCAAGATATCATTTCGCGGAAGGTTTGCCGTCATCTAATAATACGCTGTGTAATTTGTGGGCCGCAGTGAGAAGTTGAGCGAACCCAACTGTCTTTATTAACTTTGCAAGGACGGGAGAGCACGAGGGCGCACGAATTAAGCTGAATTACTTACCTGACATTCTTCGGCGGACATTAGTATCTGTAGAAGGGAAGGCTGCGACGTCAAGGAAACGGTCGTGGCCGCCTGATAGAGGGTCGTGGTCGTGCGAGGGTGCGGTAAGACCAGCGGTACGGGGGATGGTGATTCCTCCGGCGGTTTCTGTACCAGCGCCATCGGTCGTGGGTAAGGCGTGAATCTTTGGTCGCACCTTAACCTTCTACAGTAATAACCCTTAACTACTTAAGAAAGAGTATAGATTGCTTTATATAATTTTATCGTCGCCTGTGGCTACATACGCGCGATGTGTCACTACCTCATCGACTCGTATTCAAGTCATGTTCTTTAGATGATTTTGTATCCGATCGCGATCTGACGATTTCGTCAATTTTCTTTCTACAAAAACATCGCGAACGATGTTCCATAAACGTCAACTATCAGTAACGTAACTTTGATGTAATGTAATTGTTAACTGATGTTTACTGGAGTCGTTTTATGCAAATCGTTAATATTGATGATGCGATAGTGACGAGACATTTTACATAGTACACATGCATATGTCTTTAAAAAACTGAAAAAAGTTGGTATGTGGTTCTCTCGTATTTGTAAATTAGAACAATTCTCTTTTTTTCTCTTTTTCTGATAATAACATATTTCTAATCATAACAATTCTAGTTACATTAGAACTGATCGTAAAAATTCTTCAAGATCTAGTGAGATATTTCTTAGCCAATTGCAAAATTACAAAATGCTCATCCGTCTTTTTTATGATCAGAGAATCACACATTCGTTTCGTGCTTTAATCACGTTTTTGTCTGATTAATTGCTTCTAATTATTTTATCGTGCATCGTTAATTCATGTTTCATATCTCATTAATTTATGTTGCATATCTTGGGGTATATACTTAATAAGACAAATCTTTAAGCTGAACAAGTCAATTAAGCAAACGTTACACACCTGTGTGGCGATAGAACATACGGGGGAGCGAGTGCTGGTCTTAATCGATCATTGTGCACCGGAGCCCCAGAATGGGGGGACAATTGTGTGACAATCGGCGACTGTTGCTGTTGATGTTGCTTCTCCGAGATAATCGAGTGGGGTTTCGGTTTCCTCGGCCCGCGTTCATGTTGTACTGCTAAACACCAGTTATGACGTATTTATATTACTTTTGACGTCTGACACCTCCGCGATTACACAAGGAACGCTCTCCGATTGAATTTTATTAAAAACTTATGCGAAATGCCAACTAATTCACAAGAATTAATGAAAGTTCAGAGAAAGACATTGCATTATGAGAGAAATATTTCACATATCCATGACGTATCCAATCATGTATATTATCAAAAAAACGGGAGGAATATACAAATAATGCATTTTAAAGATCGGTCATGTAAATAAGTGCTCACAGAACCCTCCTTGCAGCACAACGAGAAATATCCCTACGCACCGACACCCTCGCCCTTCGGCTTCCAACGTGATCGAAGGTCCGTCTCTAGGACCGCCTATCAATAATATCGGCGATGGACTTAACGGTGGGAGCGAAAAAGTGGGCGCAGGTTGCGCGGAATTGAATTCGGGGTATAACGCACGTTGTAGGTCGTTCGAGATGTACGAGAGCTGTATATCCCGCGAGCCGCGTAGGTGGGGGTGGAACAAGAGGTCGACCAGCAGGAGGGGGGCTGAATCGCGGATGAAAGAGGGTGGTGTAGATCGGATGTGGTGGCTGGCCGGGCGTCAGCTTCCACAGAGCTCGATCTTTCGAGCGTGGCTGCAAACCCGGAGAGCGGGAGAAAGAGAAAAGGCCAGAGGGAGAGAGAGAGAGAGGCAGAGGACGCCGGGAGGGCGCGATGGAGGACGCCGAAGGGGTGGAAGACAGATAGAGCGAAGCGGGAGCTGCAACTGGGTGGCAAGCACATCATCATTAATGAGGCTGAGCGGATAGCAGCCGTGGATTCCCACGTTCGCACTGGCGTCGCAATATCTCCCCTTTATCACGCATCGTCCCGTCGAGAGGTACTTCGCCACTGGCGCAACGAGAATTTCTTCTCGCATCGGGACGTCGTTGTCGCCGTTCTCGTCCTTATCGTTTTAACCTCGGAATCGTTTTCTCGACGGCGATACGCTAGAATAAACTCTCATACGTTGACTGTTCACCGGTGTGAATTTCATTTATGTGAATCACGATATGCTATATTTTCGATGGAAATTCATTTATTGGCAAGATAATGTGGCCTCTCTTTTTTCTGTCGCTCGAATCGTTTGGGCACATCGCGAATACTTTGTCAATATTTTATATCATGTTTTTTCTCATCTGTATCTCATGTGATGATTATTTTTACATCGCTTACATTTTGAAAGCAAATTGTGAAAACAATCGTATGTAAAAAATTGATAATATTATTGGTATCTCAAAAATGGCAGGATGTTCGTTGACTCGACGTAGGCAAGATGAACGAAATCTCATCGTGTTATCGCGAAGCGTCGTTAACAGACAATTTTAGGATCGATATGTGCAATCGGTTTTTAAAACGAGACAGCAGTTTCATATGCGCAAACACGCTTGTACGTAGCAAAAAAGAAACGAGACAGAATCCGCTTCGGGGTTGTTTACTTTATCGATCAAATTGCCCGTGCACATCGTAACAGATACAAATATTATTATTTTTCAAGAGTAATTGTTCTCTCAACGACGAGCTCCCTTGCCGGAAAAACGCGCCCGATAAAGATTTGTTTGCTTTATAAACAATGATCTTCGCGTACGATGTACGGGAACGATATTGCCCTTCGTTGCAAAAGACCATCAAGACCAGTGCCGTCTCCGTAACAATTCTGTTATTTTTTAATTGTGCAAACATGATCCTGACAAAATCAATGACAAAGGGACAGTTTTAGTTCCAGAAAAATATAATCTATTATTTAGAAAAATGTTCTAAATATTAAAAATTGCAACATTCTCATGGAACAAATAGAATGTAAATAACAGAGCTATATTTTTTAACTTTTTTTTAATAGGTGTGGAATTTAGGATCGTTATTGCCGGAAAATTTGACGACAGACTCTGGACAAATTTTAACTACAAAAACAGTGTTTTTATATAAAATATATACGCCGATATCGCTTTTCTCATAATATGTCCAGTATATTTTCGCATATTCGTGTATTCTTAAAATTTAAAATATTCGCGCAATGCTCGTCGAGTGGCATTGATTTTAAATATTATCGGCTTTCACTAAAACCCTCCACGAATCAAAGACGAACGGGACGATCTGTTTTTCGCAGCCACAGCCATTAAGCTTCGCCTTTTTCGTACAAAAGCTCCTTCGCTTTTACGCGGCGTCTCGCGCGATCAAGGAGGAACACTTCGTCGCTCTGTACGCATCGTTGCTCAAATACAGAGCTTTATAGCTGAGCGGCTCACAGTTCAGCGAGGCGAAAACGGATGTGCGTCTAGGGGAAGCTCCCAGCATAGAGAAACGACATCGGACAAATTGATCTCTTAACGAGGAGCGAATAAACATTAAGTTGCAACTTATTCTGTACTCCAAACCGTCACTATTGCGTTATTATTGCGCTCACATTTGCTTTCGCGACTTCGTCTAAAAATGATCCGTCAAAAAAAATAAAAAATCTTTCGGCAGTATTTCGTAATATTTTGCAATCTATGTTTAAGAAGAAATAAAATTTATTAGTTAAAGTCTATTAAAATTAGGTCAAACTTAATTCCCTCGGCTTTAACTTCGCTCTTTCTTCGTCTGTTTTCAGAAAGAAGTGGGTTAAATCGTCGCTGCAACAAACCCTTGAATTTCTCGCGTGTCAGTGGCTTAAGACGAGCGATTTTCGAGTACGTGCGTGTCCGGACGGCGAATGGACGCTGCGGGGATTAGAATCGCATGCGCTGGAATGGACCGCGCCCTGTTCCCTTTTCATCTCGTGATTCCTCTCTTTCTTTCTCCCTTTCTCTGCCACCCTCTCACTTGTGAACGTGCACACACATACTCCTACACCAATCTTATCGCACACCTATAAACACAGGCTACTGTAATACTCGACCGGCACGTGTGGTCCACAATGCGAGTTCCCACAGTGGAGAGACGTAGGCGTAGACCTTCTCGACACGTTTAACACACGCATGCACACTACACACACATACACACGCGTGCATATACATGTACACGTGTGCATGTTCATTGACTGATTCACGAACGCGAGCGAATGTGATACAACGCACGGGGAAGTTCCCGTTTTAACGTTGTATTACATGCTTACGTTGTGTGTGATGCGTATGCGCGCATGTGTATGGGGCACACACGGTGTTCACACGGGCCACGGATCATGGGGCTCACACTCTCTATCCTGCTAAACGGTAAACCGATCTGTGAACATTTCAGCAGTCAGCGATCTCGAAGGCTAATCCCCGAGCAAGTGGGGTTGATACACATGGACGGCACTACCACCATCACCGAGATCACCATCACCGCCAACGCTATCACCGACACACCGACGATCGTCAACGTCATTGCCGTCGTAGGAGAATGGGGTGATTCGCGAATCGCTTGTCCAATACGTGTATAGGATACGGTGGTACACGTGTTAACACTTCAGGGAGATTTTCGTGTTGATTTGAGAGATACGCGTCAGGGAATAAGCCGAGGTAAGCCCTCATAGTGATAGCTATTTTAATTGAATTCAAGATTTTCATAACTACTGCGATACTTTGATTCGTTTAAATATCGTCTGTGTAATATCGATGTTATCAAATAGCTTGGTGTATCGATCTTTTCACCAAAGGAAATTTCAAGTAATTACTCCGAGATACTATCTCCGTTAAACTTTAATTTTAAATCAATCACTCACGAAACTGAATTGAACTGTAAAAGAATTCTAAATTTTCAACCAAAGTGAGAAAAATAAGACGTATGAAAGCCATTCGCGAATAGTACGAAATTAAGTTTATACTGTTGGTAGAATTATAATATATAGTGAAAACATTATATGTAAACATTATAATGTAAACATTATAATGTAAACATTATATATAATTTTATATATTTGTATACATTTATATAAATTTAATTTTACATTAACTTCCGCAAATGGTTCTTATACGCTCCCTCCCCCCTTATTTTTCTAACTTCAGTTCTATACTAGCAAAACAAAACCTGTTTATATATATTTTCTAAATTTTCAAATTCAGATTAAGAACGTTTTGCGACAAGTGGTGACCACGTCTAGGCCAAATTTGCCGCGGAAAAATTTACTGCAAATTTGCATAAAAATTCACAAAAGAAAAAGAGCGCATACACAGACTGTACGGACCACATAGATAGTATCTGTTCCTATTCGCATCGCTTCTATCGTTCGGAAAATCGTATGCATGCCGTTACACATGTATCCGCATACGTTACAAACGATCCGTATGCAATCCGCATGTAACACTGCCTGTTTGTCCAGTCATCGCCTTCCCTCGCGACCAATCTCATAAATCAAAATTCCGTGAAACAAGATCAGTCAGTCGTATATAAAATACATATGCATAAAGCAGAGAAGAGGAGCGATCGTACCGCGCATTAGAAACGCGACGTTGAATTAAATGCTTCATCAATTTACTGAAATATACTTGTGCGTCGCAGCTTTTTCGTCAAATTTGCCGGTAAAACGAGAAAATGTCGAGACTTAAGGCTCCTGGCTCCTTGCTGTAGCCATCTTGATTTATGACGTCCGAAGCGAAATACACACTAAAAATGTTTTCTTCTAAAAACACGAAAAAATAAAAAGATGTATCGATAAAATGACGCAGTCAATCGAGCAGATGTGTAAAATAGCCCAAACATTCCCATTTTCTTCAGATGTGCCCGATCAATTGCAAGTGTTATTTTATGGATATATATTTTTCCTTCGACGTATTTTGCAAGAATTTTTATCTTTGACATTCTCAATCGAAAGTTCCGCGGCAAGGACCTGGAAACTTTAAAATTCTGTTGAATTCTGATTAAACAGGCGTTGAGAGCTCATTGCGAGAATACTTGTCAGTAGCACGTAATTACGCAGTCAAATGTGAGCACTCTCTTTTTTGCTGAAAATATACGGAACATTCTGCACTCGGCAAAAGAAAAATCCAAAGGAAGCCTATTTGAAATCCGTTCGTCACGCACGGTTTGCGACTTTGATAAAGAGCAGGTAATAAAAGTGTAAGTATGCTTCCGTGAGAGCACCAAAGAGCATTATAAACGGAGAAAGAAATCAAACGATGCGAGCCCAAATCTGACGTTGCGCGATCGCGCTTTTCCGCGGAAATACCCGGCCGGGGAAATGGTCGAACAAGTGTCTCCGTTTCGCGCACACGGGAACATCAACGGCACGTAATCGAGTGCGACGCAGGTGTATATGTGTGTTTGTGTGTGTGTATATATGTATGAGTGAAAGAGAGAGAGAGAGAGAGAGAGAGAGAGAGCCACGGGTGATAACCCACGAATGTAATTCTCGCATTTATGCGAGCCGGAGACGGCGGCCGGGGCGGCGGGTCGCTGCAGTTCCTCCGGGCGCGTTGGTATGATGACAGGTGACGATCAAAGCCCGGCTTAGCGCAACGACCCGTTTCGTCCGCACACATCGCGCTCGTATCACGCGGGAGAACGCGCCCGCGTCTCCTCCGCGTCTCTTCCTCTTTCACTCAGTCATCTACTCTCTTTCTCTGGTTCTCTTTCGCGTATATCAAGCGTCATAAATGTCTATCCCCGTTACCAAATGGCCTTTTCTCCGATAAGACGTATCGTGCTCGCGTATACTTTAATCAGTTTCAGCGTTCAAGAGAAACTTCATTTTCACTAGAAAAAAAGTCTGTCATAATTTCCTTCGTGGATTTAATATAGACTCTTTTTATCTCTTATCTCAGAAGAGAATCTTATTCATGATTCGCAACAAGCAAGATTGCAGCGAAAAAAGTTGTGAAGAATGAAGAAAATTGAAATTATATAAGGAAAACACCCGAGTTTTCCTTCTTCGTTTTTATATGTTTGCGTTATTTCTCGCGAATTTCAAGTGTCGTATTTCAGAAATGACAGCGTCATTTAATTGCTAGATTATCGTTCAACCTTTCATGTTTCGTAATGTTGTTTTTTTTACAATCACCCAAACGCGATGCATCCAATCAGCAAGTGTCATCCAATGACGGAAAGGCATTTATGACAGCCACTATACCCCTCGCTCTGTTCCAGGTCCGCTTTACCGTTTACCGTTTATGTGGATGGATTGATGCTGCCCGTCGCGTGTACGGCACGCCTCGCTTCGTTGCGTTACCAGCCGTCCACTCCCACGCGACTCCCCCTGTATGCTGTCACTACTCTCCATCCAGGGCCGACCGACTACATCGCGGAGTCCCGAACAGCGAATATTTTCTTGGAGGACTCAACAGATAAATCAAGGTAATACATAATAATTTAGGCGTGGGATGGCTAACGTTTTCGGTTCCCCCGGCAGAACGTAACTAGCGAACTTCTATGTGGAAGTAGAGTTTCTTCTTGAAATGTTTATCTTTATTGTTGAATATTATTCTGTACTCTTTAAATTTCTTGGAATAAAATCTCACTCAAAACGAGTGAAAAATAACAGTATTTTCACTCGAGGTGATAATGAAAATATTGCCACTCGAAACCACAAGAGTAAACGTTTGGATTAGAGTAGATTCTGACTTCATATGAACGAATGTTTCAATCGATTGTGAACATGTTCTTCTGACGGTGGAATACATCAGAATCACTTCTCTGTTTCGAGTGAAAATATTCACTCAATATATCAGAGTGGAGAATTTACTCTATAAGAACAATCATTTGAATTCAAGTGACTCAATTGTCACTCAACTTTTTGAGTGAATTTCATTCCATGAAATATAGGGAATACAATCTAGAGAACTTGAGTAGCACGTCAGGATAATTTTATTTGAGGAGGAAGAAACATTGTCTTTTTTTGCCATCGCGTCGAAATGACTCAATCGTTTTTAATATCACACCGCGACTCTATAATTGGACGTTGAACTTTGCACTTTACGAGTGAGGAGTGCTCGAATTCCGATCTATAACTGCCGAAAGGGGCAAATGTAGGGTGCGAGTGTCTCGATTTAATTCCGGTTCAAGGTACTTGATACTTTTAGAAAGGGTGCTTCCGAATTATGAGCGGAAACAAAGAGATTTAAAGTTTGAAGTAGCGCCCCGCGATCGATTGGGCATGAAACGAGGCGAAGTTTGCGTATCCAAGAGTGTTGGTGGATCCGAATGTGTGTACACTAGAAATGATGTTGACCGTACGGTCCGGGAAAAGTCGTGGAGCGTAGGGTTTCATTGGCGAGTCGTCATCTTCCGGTCGCGCTTTTCATTTAACTTTTTAACGAGATATTTAATCGAGGAGACATCGACCGCGCTTGAATGTCTGCCGAATAGTCTGCGAACAAGTTCGCGATGCGATTGAAATAAAATCAAATGGAAAAACTTGAACAACTCGACAGATCGCTAAAAATTAATGAGAAAACGATAAAAAATAGATAGATAAGAGAGAAGAGTATATGAATCAATAATAAAAGCGGCTCAAACTTTTTTTTAATATTTTCTTAATTTTTCTACATTGTGGAAAAAAATACTTGAGAATCTACTTATGGGATATAAAGTTTATTCATAGAGAAATAAATTTTATTTCACAGAAATAAACTTTATACCCCACAAATAAATTTTCAAGTATTTTTTCTGAGCATACTTTCTTGACAAGATATCTTTCTTATCTCACAAACCTGTAAGATTAACTATGCCACCTTATAATTCACGTTTTTCAGACATAATAATTTCTGAAGAAGATCAAATCGCATGTATTCGACAATCTCGGCGGCACTGAGAGCGTGGCATGCGATCAAGCTCTTAAATGCGGAGTATCAACATTAGAAACGTATACGCTTAGGTCACGCACGGTTCACTTCCTCCCGGCACTTCCCGGTACTTCCCGGTCGCTAAGAATTACAAATCCGTCGTGGTAAGCCGCCCGGTAATCTTCCTGGCGTCGTTTAACGCCATATTTCGCGATGCGTATATATCCGCGGAATCGTACGGGACGGCATTTTGCCGGCGCGGTGTACCAGCATAGGCGGATAATATCAGTGACGGCGACTGCGAATTTTCGTGTAAAGAGGAAAGCGCGTCGGTTATACGAGGGTGTGAGAATGCCGGAAGTTTCAGTGTTGTCAGCGAGCGGATGATTGCGCGCCTGCGGCGTCACAGCGCTTTGCGATGCGCCGAGTACTACGTACATAATACATAGCGCGTACCCGGAGTGGTCACCTACATCTTATGGGCTTTTCACAACGTTTTTTCGGGATTCAACCTGCCTGCAATGTCAGTAGAACGCGAGTAGCATACTTTAAGTCCCAGTCAGATTTTAACAAATTTATTTTGAAAGCTTCACTTTTTTTTATTTGGATTTTGATTCAAAACGTACGCAAAGTCGTTGTGCAAAAAAATTCTTGTGTGTCACATGCACGTGACTTTTCTTGGAGAATTTATTAGGGTTGATACAAGATTTGTCGTATTTTTCAAATAAAATGATAGACGAAATTATCCAATTCCGAAGGATTAATAATTTTTACAAATATGATGCACAAAAAAGAAACAGACTCGATATTTTTTTTACATTGAATGATGACTTCCTGTTTTTCTTTTAATACTCAATCTTCTTAGGAGAATTTAGAAATTTAGAGTAAAAAAATCTCTCGCATTAGCTCAGTAATTAGCATTAATGGATCATGCGGCGTCAAATTTGTGAACTGAAGGAGTTAGTAAAAAGATCTTGAGGTTTTTGGTCAATGGTCTGACTATTTATCTACTCGAATGAAATACAAAGACTTAAAACACTTCGTGACAATTTTTATGAATTGGCTACGGATGTGACACGTAAGTACAGTCGTTAAGATTGATACGTTCATTTTGGCAGATATAATCGGTACGTCAAGCACATTTAGCGTTTCAATAACTATTACCATCATCTTGGTGAAACATCATCTTCAGGAAAATCCCGTAAAAGTTATCGCAGAAACAAAGGACGCCTCGACCATTCCGACGTCGACTATACGTCGGCAATTAATCACGGCGTCTAATTAACTCCGCCAACAAAGTACGAGCAATTTCGAGAGACGAAGCGACGAGAGCAACGGAGGAGGCGGTGGCAGTGACGATTAGAGAGAGAGAGAGAGAGAGAGAGAGAGAGAGAAGGGGGAGAGAAAGAGAGAGCGACGTGGGAGCGTTAACGTGCGCAAGCGAGTATGTTCACGAAGGTGGCTGCAAGGAAGCGGGGTGGCGAGGTGGTCCGTTCACCCCCGTGTGGAGCCTCCTTAACGTTAGGAAGCTCTGCCACTAATTGAATCTCCTCTCTTACTCGCGTCTGGAGCCTCGACAACCGCTGGGAACCGGAGCACCCGTCCTGCATTAAACACCCCCAACACTCTGGGCACCCTCATCCCTGCCAAGCGGTCTCGTATCGCCCCCTCTCATCCTCCCCGCCGCTCGGCTACCCTCACCGCTGAGTCCCCCATCCACCTTTTCTCTTTCCACCTCGACTCTACCTGTCTCTCTCTCTCTCTCTCACTCTCTCTCTCACTCTCTTTCTCTCTCTCTCTCTCTCTCTCTCTCCACCTCCACAGGATCCAGCCCCCGTTAAGCGTCCCAGAAAACGAGCCTCCGCCGCTGTTATATCGCCGTCCATGGCGAGGAACATCGACCCGTGTACACCTCGCCCATCCTGTATAACTCTCGTGCGGAAGATCAGGCTCGCTTTATTTCTAAATATCCCTTTTAAAATCGAGAGGAACAGTATGACGCGGCAGCATACTGGTAGAAAGAGCGCGCGTAGAAAATCCCGTCTCGGTTGGGCGCGCCATGAAGAATGTAGAAACCACGGATAAAATTAGCTTCTGTCGAAAGCTGACAGTTCGTTACGGTGAGAAATGACCGCGATGAAATAACACGTATATTACTTACTTATTTTAATTTTTTACAATTTCTAATCTGCTAAGTAATCAGAATGAAGTAGGTTAAAGATCTATAGTAAAATGAAAATAAGATTTATCCGCAATATATTCGTTAAAGTTCGTTCTATTAAAACTAAGTTCTTAAATCAGGTCAATTCGGGGTCTTTAATTAAGTAGTTTTAATTAAAGACTATTTTATGCTCGAATTGTGAGTTAATACTGCGGATCAAAAAAATGCTCGCCGGGAAGACGAGCATTGTATGCCCCAGGAAACGTGGCATTGTCGATCAAGTGAGACGTCACGAAAAATTGAAACGTAGCATGATATTGCATATTCATTGTGATATCTTCGCGATTAGCGGACTAACTTGCCTACCGTACCGTGTGATAGAAACGAGATAATATTCATCGCGAAATGACGAATTAGAGTATCCGAAGTCTTGGCCGAACACGATATCTCACTGCTTCAAATCGATCTCGTCACGTCGGCTTTTACACTGATAACGCATGAACTGCTCGGTCGTGGTCAACGCTTTGGCTCCGCCTCGTGTGCAGGCAGGTTTATTTAGGAGGGTTTGGTTGACCGATAGTTACAGTCGATTTCTTTGTGGGTTATTTGTGGCCTTTCACGAAAACACGAGGAAACCGATGAAGTTGTGTTTCTCACAACCATTCGTAGTTCACAGAGGCGACAAATGTATCTTTTCTCTATTGCCTTACGCGTGACTTGCGTATTAAAAATCAACTTGTCGAAAGATAAAGTATTAACTCTTAGAAAATTATGCATATCTTGATATTTTGATCGTCTCGTTAGAATCGCCAGAAATATAAATAATGCCACAGAAAGGCATGTAAAATTAGAAAAGATTTAAATATCGAAACATAAATTCGGAGTCTTGTAAGTATCGCATTTTACAATTGAACAATGATAAGAACAATTATCTAGCTAGGTTACATTGCTTTTCGTACAAGTGGTTTCAATCGATTGACTTATTGCTTCCAATAGAATCATTGAATGATGAAGATCACTCAAGAACGATACAGAATTGTGTATGTAAAAAAAGAACAATTGAGTACTTACCGTCCTTGTTCATGTTAGCTTCGAAACACTTAGCAAGACGACAAGCACGGCATTGATTCCTGTGAGTCTTGTCGATCGGACAGCGTCCTTTCTTGGCTCCTTGGGCCTTGCAGATGTACTCTCGATTACTGTGTATACTTCGCTTGAAAAATCCCGAACAACCTGATAACAAAAAAAAAATCATATTTATGCGACGTGACAGTTCGACATTTATAAAATTTGCAGACATTCAACAGTAATTTGTATTGATGAAGAAAGATTTTAAAAAATGAAAAGAAATTAGATGATTAAAATTATTAAGACTATCCTTAGATCGAGGATGATTCCTACAACTATATTAAATGTTTTAAAATCTTTTTACTTTCCAAGTTTATACGTCTTCTCAATTTAACTGATAACTTTAATATATAATTATTTCGCTATATATATAACGTAATGGAGAATACAAAATATCATTAATTAACAATCATTACCGTCGCAACTGTAGATGCCGTAGTGTTTCCCAGAACTACGGTCACCGCATACATCACACAGTATATCAAGTAATCTGTCTCCTGAAACAAGAGAAATATAGGTCATTACTGATTAATAATACTCATTAATAACAATCGCAGAGTATCGGTATCATTAAACATAAATTGTATCAGATACCGCAACTAAATTATGATTAGACAAGAGATATCGATGTCAAGAGACTCTCGCAAAATCCCGTTTAAGAAAGCGTCCGGGCCGCAAGATCTTCGTTGCTAATCTGTTTCCCCCTTTTCGTAGGCACCCTAATCGTCCTAATGATCCGCGGCAAGAAAAACACGGCCATGCCTAAGCCAACCAAAGCCTTCCTTCCTCGGCCTAGGGTATCAACCGCCTTCGTCTCACACCCAACCAACCTAACCCGATCAACCCGGGTTACTTCAACCCCAACGGATTACCGCCTCCGTCGTGTATACCATGACGCCTTCTTCTTCTTCTTCTTCCTTCTACTTCTCCTTTATATCGCTTACGTTATTCCGTATAGCGCGTTCGCCTTTATCTTTATGATATGCATAAATCTTCAAGCAAATCCAATATTAAGACAGAATTTACATAGAAAACAGAAATTGCTCTCATTATTTCAAGCTTCAATGAAATTCCCAGCAAACACAATGTTACATGTAACGTACATGTTAGTTGTAATTTCCTACTAAACAATATAACTGTTACATAACACGCATGTTATATAACAGTTATATTGTTGAGTAGGAAATTACAACTAACATGTACGTTACATGTAACATTGTGTTTGCTGGGTTTGGCTTTATTCCAAAATTTACGTCTCATAAAAATGTCTAACTGATGTCTTTATTTTTATAGGTGTTCTTTACATTTTTCTAAATATCAAGCCTTGATTATTTGGAGAAAAGTGCGAAACATGATCAAGCAATAATTGCTCTAACGTCCATCCGGCTAATTGATGAGGCACGCGATTACACAATACACCGCAACTTGTTTTAAACATTCTCACTGATAACAATGGGTCCGGTATGCATTTAAACCTATCAAAGCGTTTCGATTCTGTAAAGATTTGTAGCATATTTATCATTAATAATAATGAGACCGCTTTTATTTAACATACGGTTCACGACTCCTGAGTTTCTAGACATTGAAGACTGCGAATTATCAATTGATAGATAGCGGTATAAACGTTCACGCACTATTAATCATGTCTCGATTGCGTAAGATTTCTGAAGTCTCAAAAATCAGGATATACCGGCAAAATTCGTGAAGAATCTCTCGATCTTCTTGTACCTTGAGAAGTGCGCCTTACCTGCGAACGAGCGAACGTTCAGAAACACGTCAACACTATTAGTCGCCTTTCGAATACGGTCCAACACAATTGCGCTAAATTCCATGAGCCGCGATTAAACCGTCAACAAGTGGACACTCGAAACGCTCGAGCACTGTGAATCATCTCGCGATCGCGATACACTTTTTCTCAAACGTAATAAACCGGAAGTCGGCTTTATGAAGCAGGTAAACATCCAAAATGCTCAAAGATCTCGAGCATCTCTCGCGATCGCAATGAACACATCTCGGACGCCGGGAATCGCGATTTACCACCAAGTTCCGAGGAAGTAGCGCGCATCACTCTCACGTCGCACAATCCCGTTTGAGCCGAGCGATCCCGGCTACCACCAGCTAAGCCCTTTAGCGCGACCGACAACAACGGAAGAAGTGACGAAGCGAAGCGAGACGAGACGAGACGAGACGGCAAGTGTCTTCGTAGACTGACCTGTGCCCATCTCCTTCGCAGCTGATTAAAAGTCGAGCATCGCCAGACGACGGACAGCCGAGCTCGTGGTCCCGACGCGACGCCGACGAGGTCGCGCGAAGTCCCGAAGCATTCTCCGTGACGGGGTGGCTTCGAGCCTCGACGTACCTACTCATCTCTCTCGTCGGGAAGGGCGTACTCGCGATCGTGTCCGTGTCCGCGCTGCATGTATATATGTACATGCACAAGTGTATGTATATACATGTGCGTGTATACGTGCCTCTGTTCGTTCGTGTATGCGCATATAGAGGTTGTTGCCCGACTGGCTGCCGGAGCAGCTATCTCTCCTGTCCGTAGCCACATCACGGAGAATCATGGGTCGTTCCCCGATACAATCGACATGGTCCGGTGGTGGGTCCGCGGGGGAGATGGTATGAGTTGAGGGGCAAGAGGGTAGGGAAAGAGGTAGCTAGCTAGCTAGATAGGTAGGTAGGTAGGTGGATGGCTGGTTGGTTGCTGAGCGAACCAACACATCGACGCCAATCCCTAAACGACCGCGAATCGGCGAGGAGGCTACGACGATGGCGTATACCGGGGTTACGTCACGTGAATCCACGGCGTAACACCTCTTCTTCACCTCCGCCGCCGCCGCCGTCGTTGGCACGTTGGCCTACACGTCGTGCTCCAGCAGAGGAGAGGGAGAAGAGGAACACGACGCAGCGGGGGTGGAAGCGAGTGAGATAGGGTGGGGAATTCCAGCGAGCTAGCGACTAGACGGCCCGGGGACTTGCTGGCCGAGTGGCTGACTCGACTATAGCGGGGTAGCGCTAGTTAGCCATCGGCAACTGCGGGGGCGGCTCCGAAGGCCACGTTGTCAGACGGCCGTTACCACTGTGTCATTGGTCGACTCCACCCACGAGAGCGCATGGGGTTGAGGGTGAACTCACGAAGGGGTAGTAGGCGGCGCCAGACGAATCGACGACGCTGATTCGGCGCCGAGTTACCAGCGACGTCGCACCGGCCAATCGACAATACGGAATTAGGGTAGCTGACGACGTTAACATCTGCCTTCCGGCGGCCGACGCTATTTACCAGCGACACGCGGCAGCGTTGCTGCTTTTTCATGAGATTGGTATAGGTGTAGGTAGGTAGATATAGGTGTGAGTAGGTAGGTGGAAGCTACCGGTAGAAAGTGGGTGCCGCTTGGTGGAGGTAGGTGGTTAGATAGATGGGAAGATAGGTGCGACCGAATCGATGATTACGTTTCTATAATCGAGGTTCCGGTAATCCACATGACGACAAGCTGCTTTTCTTAAAATAACTGACGGATTAGGAAATTTCAGTCGACCTCTCTCGTCAACGTAATTGTTCGTTCCAGTATCAGACTCCTTAAGAGATCTCTGACTCCGTCAGAGGATCGAAAACATTATTTCCTATAATTCCGCTATATGCGTTTTATGAGAGTGACATGCAATTGTAGTGTGAAACACCGTGTATGGATTAGGCCATTTTGTCGGCGTTTAGTAATGACACGCCCCTCTCTGTGAGCAAACTCATCGTTTGTGAGATGTATGTTCAGTGTTTCGATCGATCACGTCGTTTCTTCTTCACTTCTGACTTCCTGGCTTAACCAGTCGGTAATTGTACCTGAGCTTCCTTGCTAAACGAGTCGCCTGTAAAATTTTCAGCATTATTACCTTCCTTTAATATAATTGGTTCAAATATATATTAAAATATTACAGTTAAAAAAGATCCGGGTAAAGTTCAAAATGTTCTTGTCCGTTTTAATTCCGTAAACTTTTAAAAACATCAGAGAGATGATAAATATGTTGTTCAAGTAAGGTGAAATTGTGGATCGCTACATTGCCTGACGACTTCGTATCAACGATGAATTGGAACAAAATGCATATGCATGGGTAAAAGAAGATCGGTGAAATTGCTTCAGAACGATGCAAGGCTTCGTACTGTTCAACCGACTAAAGGTATGTTACTGGCACTTGGTAAGTGCAATTCTCGTCCAGCTACGTGCTACCGTGTATTCGCCAAACTGCTCTTTCAGCACACCATTCTGGTTGATGCAACACGTCCGACAAAATACAAACTTGCAAGTAGTCGATCTGAAAATGTATTGATGATCTTATCAAAACAAATAAATTTCAAAACAAATAAATTTAAAAACAAATAAATTTAAAAACCGAATTTTGGATTTAGCGAAAGAAAAGTGGGAAAGTGGAAAGTGGTATTTTTAAATTAAAAAAAGTGGATTATCTTAGTACTCTTAATAGCATGCATTTTAACTTATCCAATAAGCAATTGCGTTACTTATTGGATTAGACACAAAGATTAGGAAATATTCATTAGTGGCAAGATAATTACGCATTTCTAATAATTATCATTTTACTATTATTTCCATACATGCGTGGCTGAAACATTACCACATCTATATACATATAATTTACGATCCCGTGAGGTCTCCTACACTATACGCGCACGTGCGCGTGTTGAGCATAAATAAACTTCCACGTTTCTATAAATCGTGAGATCAATATTATATAGATATACATAACGTTAGATATTAAGAGATTTTCTCATGGCAGTAAAAATGCATTGTTTTACTGCCCCTATACTCTGTTATATGTAAAAAATATATTAATTTACTTGAGAAACGATAATACCATTACATAGAGAATCCATTTGCACTTCTTATTTTTACTTCATAGAAATTCTTCCTCCAATCTCAAGGCTTCCAACCAAGGAAGCTGTCTTGAATAACTATCTGCTTGAATATACTATTTGTGATTGACTGCCCAGGTTTTCGGTTTCGTTGAGCTTCTATGATGTAAGAAACTTTTTCCCGGGCTTCCGCTCGCGATATGTCGCCCCTTAGACCGAGTAGTCTGATCAGATGATCCTCAGTCATGTCGGGATACTTCTCAATCAACGAGTGCAAGTCGAGAGAAAGTATTTCTGAGTCCTCGCAGCGCAGCACTTCGGCAAGCCGTTTTATTATTTCGAATGGTGAATTGAAGTTCCCTACTTTCGGCGCGATCCTGTCGAAGAAGTTCTTCAGCTTGTCCGCCTCCGTCATTATCTTCGACGTGCACGTCAAGCATTCGTCGTAGGTCTTCAACGATATCTTCCTCTGCAGCATTGCGGATATATAACGCTTCGCGATTAGATTCTGCGCTTCAGTGATCACGTACTCGAAGTTCTTGGGGCTCAGGTGATTGTAATCCTGAAAGTAATCCTCTAGGGTAACGCAAATCGTCTCCACCGGGATAGGCGACGACAGCCATTTAGGCGTAATCAGATCCTGGAAGTGCAATTCCAAATCCAAAAAGGACTCCTGTAACAGGATAGTGGCAGCCTCGTTCCTCAATTGCTGGTAATTCGCTAAGAGATTTTCGAATTTCACGGTGGCATCACCGCTGGTATTAGGCACCCAGTAGAGTTGCTTCATCTGCTGCGCCAGTTCGGTAAACTGCACGCAGTTGTTTACTATTGTGATCATATGATGAGTGAAATAAGGCACCTGACTCCTGTCCTCAAAATGTTTGTTTTTGAACTCCAATATCGCTTGTCTATACATACACCCGTACTTGGTTACTTGCTCGATACAGAGTACCAACGCTTCCGTTGTCAAGTCAGGACTAATGGTCTTTGCAACTTGCAGATTTTGATCAATCATCTGGAATATAATGACCGGCGCCGCGGTATGATAATACAGTTCTTGAGTACTGCTCTCAGGCAAGATGCCGCTCCTCCAGTCGCACTTCTCCGTCTCTAGTGTCTTCCTCATCCAGTCCTCGTAATTCTGACACATATTCCGCAAGTATTTCTCCTGAAGATCCTTTATCATCTCTGGACTGAGAAGTGGGCCGATGTCAGATGTACTGATATTCAATTCAGAATGTTGCATCAACTCTGGTCCTGTGTAAGTGTTCATAATCCATGCCAATAAAGAAACATACTCATTTCCTTCTAGACCACCAGCAATTATGTCTTTTAAATGCTGGGATAGACTATTATGATACATTTTAACAAAAGTCCTTACTATGTCATACCAGGGTGGAAAGCAAGGCCTGCATAAAGTCTTCACTACTCTCAAATCTTCGAGAATCAAGAGTCTTGTAAGTTCCAAGTATCTTACTAACCACATCTTGTTATCTGCTCTTTCTTCTACGTGAGTGCCTTCAATCCTGTTAGCTACCGATTTTTCCAGTACCTTCATAGCCATATCCTTCCATCTCTTAGGTCTGCCAGGTGGCATAAATCCACTCTGCTTGTGTCTCTGAATAGCAAACTGATCAGCTTTTTCTTCCCTTTCAATAATTCTCAGAGGTGTCACGATAACTGTAGGCTCTTTCCGGACTGTGTTCAGAGTACGACTCAATACCAACCTTATCTGTTTTTCCATAAGTTGAGAAAGCATTTCCACATCTTCAAAATAAGCTTTCAACATAACTGTATCTGCTGGTGACTGGTTAGGTAGTTTATGAAGCTCATACAATAAGTCATCTCTAGAGTTTTCAAGATCCATAAGACTCTGATGAGCATATAGTAATTTACCTTCATTTATCCATTGCTTTGTCTTCTCGACGCTTTCAGGAACTGTAAATATATGCTTCAAGTTCTCCTTGGCGATAACGTACTGAGAATGACGCATATTCTCCTCCTGCACCGCTTGCAATCTGGAACTCAGCTTCAGAACAGAACTGAACAATCGATTAATGTGATCTAGATCGTCCTTGATAGTGGCGATGCTTTCAAGAGAACTCTCTAGTTGCTCGAAGCCTACTCGGACTCCATCTAATTGACTTTTCATTGCGGTCTTAAGCATGGTCTCGACGGATGCTTTTTTCCTGCTTATTCTACGTTTATACATGTCAATCTTCTCCAGCTGACCTGGCCGTTGCAGAAGGTTCGTAACATACTTCGTGCCCCGGGCTATCGCTTCTTCTTCTAACTTTTGTAGATCCTCCATGTTCGTTGTCATTTTTAACAATTACACGATAATTACACAATTATCAAAATCCTCGAACTTTGTTCGTGAAATTTTCTGCGTGAAAGGTCAAATCTAACCAACGATTTGCTGCAGAAACGATGGCGCCTCTAGCGGAAACTTTAAAACTACAATTTAAAATAATAGATGGTTCACTCGATTATCCAACAAATTTTCTAAAACGCTATCTAGCGTTAATAGTAACTATTTTCCAGTAAGGAACATTGGCTGCATTCAGCAGACTCAACAGTTGCACAACAGTTGAGTAATTTGTCAATGTACGCATTCAGTAGAAAAAGCGCTCAGTGAGCAATCAACGATTATTGGTTCTTGCTATTAGATCCCTAAATCTAGACCAATTACATTGACAAATTACTCAACTGTTGTGCAACTGTTGAGTCTACTGAATGCAGCCAATATAATTGGTCTAGATTTAGGGATCTAATAGCAAGAACCAATAATCGTTGATTGCTCACTGAGCGCTTTTTCTACTGAATGCGCCCATTGTCTTATATAAAGCTATTTTATTGGCTACATATTGGCTTGGTTTACATCGTGCATTTGATACGCGTACTAAATAGTAACTTTCTATTAGATAATCTTAATATCGACGATATATATAAATAATGGTATATTAAGTAGTATAATACTCATCAGCAAATTGTATTGATAGAATGGGTCGCTGTTGATATGCATTGTTGATATTAAAATTATCTAATAGAAAGTTACTATTTAGTACGCGTATCAAGTGTACGATGTAAATCAAGCCATTATCTTAGAAGATATTTTGGATGATATGTAGTCAATCAAATGGCTTTGTAATATAACGCATGTTTCTTAAGTCCCGATTTACAATAGGTGTAGTAAGCTTTAAGCCATAAGAAATTAACCAATCATGATTGATTATTCCTCTATAATTCGACTGTGATTAATCAATTTCTTAAGTTCCGATCCATAATAGGTGTAGTAAGCTTTAAGCTTTAAGAAATTAACCAATTATAATCGAATTATAGAAGAATAATCAATCGTAATTGATTAATTTCTTAGAGCTTAAAGCTTACTGCACCTATTGTAGATCAGGACTTATGGCTCTTGCACACAGAACGCGGTAATCCTTGCCGCGCAGCAGTAATTCGTGTGACAGCCAATCAATATGCTGGTTTCTATAATAACCTTTTAGCTTTTACGGAAAAACAACATATTGATTGGCTGTCGCGCGAACTTCCGCCGCGCGGCAAGCATTACCGCGTCCTGTGTACAGAAGCCATTACGGCTATCATAAACCAGTCTTTACAGTGAAAAATATATAAGTTAGAATGTGAAAAAATATAAAATATATTTGTCTCCTTCTAACTTATTGTATTAGTTCAGCAGTGCAGCTAAAAAGAACAGACCAATAGGAGAATTTTGCCCATCTCAATTCTCAATTTGTAATAATCTGTGACTTTCATCTACTCGATTTTAGTGTTATAAAACCGAGCGATTTTTATATATTAATAAATAAATTTATTCAAAAAATTGAAAAATAAATTTTTTAAATGGCTTACCTGTCACAATTGGCTTCCTGTGCATTACAGAATATTCGGCAAACTCTAACGTCATGCGATATTAGTGGTTTAGGTTTGTATATATTATCAATATCTGACAGTTGGATATACACTATTGTTTATGTATTAGTGACGATTAATATAAGTTTATTATTGTTAGCAAAAGTATGTGTCAGATACGCTTCAAAGAAGGCAAGTTCCAGCACCAGGATTAAACCTGGACATCCTAGACCAAAACATAGAGGTTGGAAAGTACAAGATGGACATAACGTACATGCAGGCCATATATTAGCTACACAATTAAAAGCCAGGTTTCATCCAGGTCTTAATGTAAGTATTGATAATCATATTATTGATTAACTATTATTTAAACTTGTTACGTTATATTTTAATAATGTAATAGGTTGGCTTTGGACGAAATGGGACTTTATTTGCTATGGAAGCTGGAAAAGTAATGATAACTTGTGAAAAAATCAATCCTGATTTCAGACATTTCTGGGTTAGAAAAGCTTATTCTGGTCGTGAAAATCAAGTTATATATAAGAAGTACTTTAATGTTATTCCTGAACCACAACATAATCGATTTAAGTTAATGAGTACACTATAATATAAAAATGTATATATAAAAAAAATATCTTAAAATTATGATGGTAGAATAATAAAATATACTGTTAACCATACCTTGTTACAAGAAATTATAGTTCTCTTATATTATTTTCTCCTTTTTATATTTATGATACAAAGTTTTAAGCAATCTTAATAAAAATATTTAATTATTGCACAAAATCATAAAGAGAATATTTTTGTCTTTAGTGATGATATAATAGTATATAATAAAAATTTCAAAAAAACTACAAATTAAAACAAATAGTTAAAGTTAATCTCTATAATGTACAAAACAAAATTATGAAGAGATATATATCACTAGAAATAATGACTTGTAATGGAAAGATGGATAAAAATATTTATTTTACCTAAGGTAAAATAATGAATATTATTTTCATTAAACATTTGTATTTTCTTAATTATATCAACTGTTTCCAAGTACAATACTTTCTGCCCATTGTAAAGATTGATATTTTACTTTGTCTTCTTCTTTACAATATGTAGCAAATACTAATGTTTTTCTGACATGACAACTAATCCTGCATTTTGCGACAAGTTCTACAACAGATATCTCTTCATCCTTGTAGTGACACTGCACAATATATTGTGAATGAAACATTATTGGATCACCTGTAAATAATATATATTAATGATTAATATAGTATAGTTTCATCATTATTATAAAAAAAAGAAGACAACATACCTGGGTACACTAAAAAATCACCACCAAATTTATCACCACTGCTAATATAATATCCTTTTTCCCAAAGATCCTTATATACTTTATACTTAACTTGTTGATCAGAAGTAAATGGATATTTCCATTGTACTATTTCCATATCATCATGACTAAACCATGGCTGTGCTAAAATATCCATAAATTACATTACATATACTATTAAATATATATGTATGATTCAAATTTGTTACCTGTGTGTGTTTGAATTAATGCTTCATTTTTAGATAATTTAGGTAATTTAGCCAATTCTTTTTCAAGCAAATCTTTAGTATTAATCTCAATATTATCTAATGCTTCTTGTGTCTTTTTGTCCAATGTTTTTCTCATCTTTTTCTTGTTTGTGTGCAAACCTAACATCTTGCGTTTTTTTCCTTCTACAATTTTGTCCATCAGAGAAGTAATCTAAAGAGAAATTATAAATACATTATCCCCTATATTGTATAAACTCTAAATATTCTTAATAATATAAATAATTGACAACAGTCACCTGTTTTCTTCTGTTTTCTCTGAGACATTCTGATTGTTGCACAAATAATATGTTTCTATATTCTTCAAATTTTTCACTCAATGATACAGTCGGTGGTTTTCCTAGACTACGATATTGCATAAGACAAGCAATATTCTTTTCAAGTAAAAGAGTTACTTCTTCTGGTAGTAAAAGCAATGGGAGACCTAAAAATACTTCTTGTCTAGTTGATTTTGGAAAGGATCCTACTAATTCACCGAGTACTCTATGATCCCGTCGAAGCTTTAACCAATCTATATATAAAAAAACACATTAAACTAATAAATAAAAAAGGTTAAATGTGTATATATATATATATATATATATATATATATATATATATATATATATATATATATATATATATATATATATATATATATATATATATATATATATATATATATATATATATATATATATATATATATATATATATATATATATATATATATATATATATATATATATATATATATATATATATATATATATATATATATATATATATATATATATATATATATATATATATATATATATATATATATATATATATATATATATATATATATATATATATATATATATATATATATATATATATATATATATATATATATATATATATATATATATATATATATATATATATATATATATATATATATATATATATATATATATATATATATATATATATATATATATATATATATATATATATATATATATATATATATATATATATATATATATATATATATATATATATATATATATATATATATATATATATATATATATATATATATATATATATATATATATATATATATATATATATATATATATATATATATATAACTTAATAGAATATTACCATCAGCGTTCCACACAAAAACATTATTTCTTGAAAAAACAAGATGCACAGTTGACATAATTACAATTCCTTCAGTTTATAATTAATTGATATTTATATTTCACGACTGTACTATTAAGGGTCTGCAGAAGTCATAGTGAGACTTCTCGCGGAGAGCCACGAAATAGGCAAAGCCATTTGATGTATTCTGATTGAAACACGGAGAAAATCACTTTACATTCGTGATATTTGCAATCAGGAAAAACGTTCGCAGGATGCTAGTTTTTGGGAAAAAAATTGTATAAATTATTTGAATAAATATTCGGTGTATGGTGCAATACAAGCTTATATTTTTATTTATTACAAATTTTTGTGTAAAAATGCACAAAAGCTCTATAGCAATCTTAGGGTGCGCTCCCACTTAGCGCGTCACGCGTCGCATCGTCCCAGTTAAGCCAATCAAATCGTCCCATTTTATTGTGTAAGTTTACGCCGAATAAAATGGGACGATTTGATTGGCTTAACTCGGACGACGCTCGCATGAAGCACTAAGTGGGAACTCAGCCTTACTACTTATGTAAAGAAAATTAGTAGTAAGTAGTAAATATAACATCCAACTATATATGAGTACCGGCCTAAATTTCTCTTCAGAAATTCCATAACCAATGGCCGCATTCAGTGAAAAAAGCAGCTAGTGGCGCTTGGGGGTTATTGTCTATGATTGAAGCATTCTTTTAGATTTCTAAGATCCAGAAATATATACCAATCAAGGTTGCATTCCAGAACGTTCTTTTTGAGGAAAATTTTACTCAATACCTACAGTTCACGTTATATAAACTATAGAGTCTCGAGTAAAATTTCCTCAAAAAGGATGTTTTGGAACCCAAGTGACTAAGTTTACACAGCAACTTAAAACCTGTTTAGTAACTACCGTAGTTAGTAAACTCTTGAATCCGATTGGAGTATATTTCTAAATCTAAAAGAATGTACCAATCGGATGCGACAGTTTACTAAATACGGTTGTTACTAAACCGGTTTTAAGCTGCGTAAACTTATGGCTCCTGCACACAGGACGCAGTGTTGTTTTTCCGTAAGAGCTAGAAAGTTATTACGGAAAGAAGCATATTGATTAGCTGTAGCGTGAACTTCCGCTGCGCGGCAAGAATTACCGCGTCCTGTATGCAGGAGCCATTAGGGTGCCATTACATGAAGCGGAAAAGCGGAAACGCGGAAAACAAAATCTTACTAGATGTCGAAAAAAATATATATATAATAAATGTATAAGAAGCAAATGAGATACGTAAGATATGTTGAGGTTATCCGCGACTATCTTTATCCTTTCCGCAAAATTGCAGCGGTAAGATTATAGTGAAACGGCACAAAAAAGAGCGGAACGGCTGTAATTGATCGTACTGGTTTCGCGTGTTCCGTTCCGCGGAGAATTTCCGCCCCATGGGACGTCGGCCTAAGGGCCCTGGGGTACTATTCCGTTCCCGCGTACCGATAGTTGTCGAATCGGTAGGCGTCTTTGCGCAGCTTTTTTATACCGTGGAAAAACTGCGCAATGACACCTACTGATCCGACAACTATCGGAACCACGGTAACGGAATAGCAGCCCTGATCTACAATAAGGGCTGTGATACACAGAAAAACTAGAGCAGTAAGACGTAAGCAGTAAGCAAATTGACCAATCACAGTCATTGATTCTTCTTATGGTCAAGAATCAATGACTGTGATTGGTCAATTTGCTTACGTTTTACTGTTTAAGTTTTTCTATATGCCACCAGCTTTAATGTAGTAAGCTTTAAGCCGTAAGAAACTGACCAATCACGATTGATTATTCTTCACTATGATAGGTCAATTTCTTAAAGCTTAAAGCTTACTATACATATTAAGCGTCTTCTACAATGGCAGTAGGAGTAGTAGTAAGAAATAAGCAATAAGTAAATAGACCAATCACAATCGATTATTTTTGAAACGTGAGAATGGAATTGGTCAATTTGCTTACTGCTTATTTCTTACTACTACTCCTACTGCCATTGTAGAAGACGCTTTATAGATCGAGATAAATTTGTAGCGTCAAGTGAATTGTACTTTGCTATCCAATAGGCGAATTTATCTTTTAAATATTACTAAAAAACAACCTCTCTCTCTTTCGATTACTAAAGATGCGTTCAGAAACGTCACTCGGGTGCACTCGCTGCGTTGGAATGAGAAAGATACGAGAGTGAAATAAAGAAAGAGAGAAAGCATCCAGGTGACGTTTCCGAACGCACCCTAAGTGCATTGCGAAATTCATTAAAAAGAAAATAGTGCCACCTTTCTGTCATTGATTGGACAGCAAGATTATTCTTCGTAAAATTTCAAGTGTTTCGATTGATTCGTACAGATTTAACATTATTTAGCACCAAGATATTTCAAATGAAGTAATAGAGAATATGATAAAAATATAGGAGGATGAAAATGTAAAAAGTTGTAGAGGTCAGCTTGAATATTATAGATCAAAGAAATCTATTTATTTCAAATATGTATTCGCGCACTTTAGTATAGGATAAAGAAAATAGCATTTTCGTTTTAGCCATACTTATTGTCATTTTCTCCATGTGCAGTGAAACAAGTGTTTGCTCTCGGACTTTAAAACAAGAAACAGATAAGAAACGAACAAATTTACCCTGAAAATCTACTCTAACCTGGCGAGACGCAGTGTGCACTGTGCATAAGGACGTGTCGCGGTCTACCACTTCCCTGAACAATAAGTTTCACGAAAAGAAGGGGAAGAAAGAGTGAGAGGTGATTGTCGAACATCTGTCACCAGGCGAATGCTAGCTCCGTTCAGTTCCGAAAACCGCGGTACTGTCATGGCACCCGTTCTCTTGATTTTTTGAGGGGTACACGTACACGTAAAATTGCATCGTGTTGCGTACGGTGATTTTTCTATAGAACGAAACTTCATTCGTAAACTCGGTGAGTGCGATATCGTCAAGCCGGTGTGAATTCTTGTTTACTTGTTACGCGTATGTGCCAAGTATGGTGCTCTTCTAGGGCAAGCCCTTCAATTCAACGAAAACGTTTATTTCGCTGAAACAACGTTAACGGCTAATTCTGCGAATATTGAAATAATATGAAATCGTATGAATCTTTCCCCAAATCCGTGAGTGTTTATACGAATGTTACGGACGATTGTGTAACGAAAATTATTGGGATAATCTTTTTCATGGTGTTTTGGGAAAATGAGATTGCTGTATAGTGTTAAATTAACGGCCCAGCTTGTGCGTCTCCCTGATAAATACCGTGCAATCAATATAAATATAAATTTAAAACAGATTTTGTATTAATTATAGCAGATTTGTCTGTCTTTATAATTTATACTTTATAATTAATTCAGTAACAAGTGTCACTTGAATGTAAGATTGCAATATTATTATTTTTTATTTTGTTTATAAAAAATAGAATAATGTTGGCAAAGATACTTCAAGAACAGACATAATATAGATAATATATCATTAGTTGTTTATAGTGATACTGATTATGTTTATTCCTTTTTAGATAATAAATCATGAGCTCAGGTAGACCGATAAAATGTGTGGTAGTAGGGGATGGAACAGTAGGAAAAACTTGCATGTTAATATCATACACAACAGATAGTTTTCCTGGAGAATATGTACCTACTGTGTAAGTATCCTTATGCATTCATATAAATTATATTTTTATTTTTAATCTTTATGCACATATATATAATTTTTTCTTCTCAATTGTATAATATCTGCTTTTTTGTAAAAGAATCTCTTATTCCTGTGGTCTATATATATTAAAGATATAACTTGTGGCAAGGTTTATGCCTTAGTTTGTTTCTTAGACCAATCAAATGGAGTGGCTAATAATAGTATTGGAGTATGAGATGCCTGACTGTTGTGTGTACAGGAAGTAATTCATTTTGAGTCATCCTTTTATATTGCTTCTTGTTCTTTCCACCTTCACAAATCTATTTTTACTTAAGTTTATTAGCAATATTTTTATTGGTTTATGTGACTCTACAATCAAGAAAAGAATATCTTGATAAAAATGAATAGGCAATGCAATGTTATTTTATACTTCTTAATATTTTAATCATAACATACAATAAACATATAGTAAACAAGTGAATAATAGAAAATAGAAATATATATATATATATATATATATATATATATATATATATAAAATATATTTCTCTAGGTTTGACAACTATTCTGCGCCCATGGTTGTTGATGGAATTCCAGTCAGTCTAGGATTATGGGACACAGCAGGACAAGAAGACTATGACAGACTTCGTCCTCTCTCTTATCCTCAGACAGATGTATTTCTAATTTGTTTCTCAGTAACAAGTCCTTCATCGTTTGAAAATGTAACCAGTAAATGGTATCCTGAAATAAAACACCACTGCCCAGATGCACCAATGATACTTGTTGGGACTAAAATAGATCTACGAGATGATCGTGAAACGCTTACTGCCTTAGCCGAGCAAGGTCTTAGTGCCATTAAGCGTGAACAGGGACAAAAGCTGGCAAATAAGGTTTGTGGAAATATAATTTCTATAGTAGTTTCTTGTTTCAATTTCTACATACCAAAACAATTTAGTGTAATAAATGTTACAGATTCGTGCGGTTAAATACATGGAGTGCTCCGCTCTCACGCAACGTGGATTGAAGCAGGTATTCGACGAAGCGGTGCGTGCCGTTCTGAGACCCGAGCCGCAAAAACGCCGACAAAGAAGATGCATTATGTTATAAATGATGAAAAGAATTGAAAGGAATCTCAGCATAGGTAAACACATATATAAAGCAACAGATCAAAATGGATTTGATCATTGAACGCGAAAAGGAAATATGAATGTTTTAAAGAGAAAATAATAGCGCGTGCATTTTAATGAATTATTCTGGCAGCTATAGAATATACCGCATTACAGAAAGAGTACAATTTATAACTTCCTGGTCTCTCAGTGCGAGTCGTGATGCCGAATCACAACTAGAAAGTTTAGACAACGAGAAAGTAAGAAAATAGAATAACTGTTTAACAGCATTTGCAGGAGGAAGTTCATTGCAAGCTTGCAAATGTCCTTCCTTGAACTTATATTTATGGATGTATTGCATGTTGATAAAAAGAAGTGTGACCGCGGTAACGTGCAGCCGATATTGTAGTAGAAAATGGCTCATGACACCTTTTTTTTTGTATTTTACGAGACTTTGTTAATTAATGTTGCAGTCCTGCAAATTGATGATAATACAGTGTAAATGTGCTGTGATGATTAAAAGCATTAAGTACCCGAAGCTTTACTTATCAGGGCTGCCAGATTTTCGACTTTTTACATTTATGGTATAGTAAGAATATTGATTTTAATACATACAACGTGGTAGTTACTATACAATCATACTGAAAAGTTTTACAACATGTAAAACAACATTATAGAACTACTTAAACATACAGTGCCATAGCAACGAAAAATCAAATAAATGTCGCAAGCACATTTAATCAATCAGTTCTAGACAATATATGTGTACATTTTACTAAAAATTAATCTTGGAAATTCTATATATGTGAAAATTAAAAAAGAAATATTTTATAAATACAAAAAATTGAAGTATATAATGTTTTTACACAAAAGTAGTATGTTTGTCATTTTCCATTTTTTAAAGTTATTTAATATTTTTATTTTGATTAATATTTTCGATAAGAAATATATGATATGCATACAGGATACTGCCATAAAATAATATAACACAACACTTTCATAGTATTCCTTGTATTGCTAGAGAAGAGTTGTGAGAATTACATGAGTTTCTCAAATTTAATAATTATACATTGGATACTTTATTGTCTAGAATTGCAATATTCTTTTCATGGAATGAAAGGAATAATAATATGCTATGCTTGTATATTAGTATTTATTTTCACTCTCATGTGAATCTCTAAAGAATGTTTTTATATGATTTTATTGGAATATTTGAGTATATTATTTTTTGTCTATAATGATTGTATTATTTCTTTGTGCTTGCAATATTATTCAATTTATTGCATTAGTGCAATTTTACTACTGATATTTTAATTTTTTTATAGAAACCGAGCATCCTTTGCAAAAATAATAATCAAAAAGGTATATCAGTTGAATAGTGACACGAAATGCCAGTGGCAAATATACAGTAAATAATGCAAAGTCCACTTAAATTGAAATATTACAAATATAGCACAATGTATTTTCCTAAATACTACAATATATTTCACACTCTTCCATTTATTTGTATGAGAATTATTTACATATAAAAATTATAACAAATTATATAGTATCATAATTTAGAAGAATAGATCAGTATCTTGTACAAATAAGTGATCTATTGCTATAAAGCTGCTCATATCATTGTCTCTAATTCATTATCTTATTAATCAATTAATTGTAATTGCAATTGTTCTATTTCAATCCAGCTAAAAAATCAGATTTTATTGCCATAAATATTATATGCTCTCTAAAGATTCAATAGTAAGATAGATAATACGGATATTTACCCTCTTGTGATCATGCTATTTTTTATATTCAAAAGCTTAGGATAAAAGAAAGATAGGACCTTTGTGCCATATATTTTCCATTATATTATACTTCATATCCAAGAAATAAATTGCTGAATAATTTTTATAGTTTCTGAATCAGAAAAGTTTTTTGCATTATAATACAAAAAAGTTTAAAAGAGAACAAATTGTTTTATTAAAAACAAAAAGTAATTATCGAAAAATAAAAAACATGGACTCTTATAATATACATCACAAATATCAACTGGTTTGTAAAGCACAAATCTCGCGAGTACTTAAAAATACTCGGTGATTATTAAAATTATTGCTTTAATTGTTCTAATGTTAAAGCTCTATAAGAACTGAGCACACACGATGAAGTATTACTGCTTATTAGCTGTACATAATAGAATAGTATAGAAGCATATTCTAAATTTCGGTTGAACCTGTATTTTACCAAAGCATAATTCCAAGTTTTTCCTACTTCTGATACCTTTTTATATATGCGCCAATAGGTCTTATCGTGGATAAATCGATTGATAATTAAAATATAGACGAACAAACAGGTGAAGTAATAACTGTGCATTGTTTGAGATTTAATGTCTGAAAAAGAGAGAGAGAACACAATTATCAGTCCGATAATTGTATGTAATTTATAATATTTAATACTTTTACTTTTTTTTAGTGAATTTATATTTCACGTAAAAGTATTTCCCCTAAATTAATAACATACATCTTAAACGATTGAAAGAGATCAAATTCCTCTTTTCTTTTATTACAATCTAAGATAGTTAAAATTTTTCATATATAAATCTATACTTACATGTGTATAATAATGTATTAGTTATGCACAATAATATACTACAATTATGTATTTTAAAAAATAACGTTATGCATAGATAATATGCATCTTTTGTAAGTAGTGCATTTACTTTACAAATTTTAGGTACTTATCATGTTAGTGCTTTTATGTTGGTACTGTCAATTTGCAAATCTGCAAACAGCATCGCTTTTTATAACAGCAGTATTCGACAATTTTAGTCTGATCTCATATGTAGTTTTTGTACAAGACGTTTAACATTGTACTTCTCATGGTTTTTGGTCACTCGGATATTAAGTAAAATTAGTTACAAAATTTGTAACATACAACTAATAATAATAACATTTTACTAACAGGAATTGATTGACATCGATATAGTATGTGCGTCGTTTCTATTTCTTAACAATGACCTTTAATTTGTATATGTAACAGTATAATGAAATTTATATTACACTACTTACAATTTCTGCATTTATAATAGAGATCATAAGATGCGAATTACTTTGTAATCTTTCCTCTTTTTAACAAGATTATTGAGGGATGCTGTAAACCAAAGTTATGTATTACGATTTAAGATAATATCTACATTTTTTTATTATGAACTATTGCACATAAGTATACAAAGAATGAATATATGAAATGTAAAAATATTCTAGTCACCATAAATCTGCTTCTAATGTTTATTTGTGTACGTGAATAATGCTCTGAAATTGCGTATATGCAAGGTATAATCCTTAAACGGAGAAGTTTAAACATATGAATGAGTGAAAAATGAAATGAAAATAAAAAGAAAAAGGGATATGAAAGTATAAGATGCAACTTAATATTGTCAATTTAGGTAGAATGCAAGACAACCAAATGATGGGAGTAGAAATTCTATAGAAATTACAAATGTATGTACATGTGCTAGGATGTAACATTAATTATGAGTAATTTATAAACATTTGTCTCTATTTTCATAAAACTTCCATAAAATTTATTATTTATGGATTGAAAAGGCAGCATAAGAGAGCATATTATCATTTTTGCAAATATACCTTACATCTATGTGTTTATATTTTATAAAACTAATATACTTTTGTAAAATTACTTTATAATTGAAGAAATGAAAACGTTTTTTACAAAAAAAATGTTTTTATAATGTGTTTATGATGTATCTTTAATGTTTAATGCGCTCTTTTGCTGTCGATATGATAGCGAAACAGTAAGAAATAGTGGCCTCGAAATTAAAGTTTTGATTATCCCGTTTTCTTATTAAAATTACAATTAACAATAATAACTACAATGTGAGTAACATGACTACATAAACGCATATTCTATATGGCACTAGGAAGCATTTATTTTTTATTTATATGTATTTTGAAAACAACTTTTTCAAATAAACAATAAAATAAAATAACTACAAAATAATGTAGTTTATAATAGTAATTTTCTACCTGTGTATCTTGTTCTTTAAGAAATCTTCAAGAAACCATTCTCTCCTTCTTGATTTAGGATCAACATACTTTATTATACAATACCAAAATAATTGCTCTCTGTTAAATTAGAAGGTACATTTTAAAAGAAAGTGTTATTCATATATATATAAATATATATATATATATATATATATATATATATATA